GTTGAAAAATATTGAGCGGTTCTTGAGTTATGCTCGGAAGGAAGAAAAGCCACCCTCACTTTTGGGACTAAGTCCGAAAATCGTTTCCATGGAAACCGGGAAAAATAAAAATGCCAAAATCGGCAAATAGCAAAAGGCACCACTTAAAGGTTCTGTTTCATACATCTACCAAGTTTTGTTGAAAAATATTGAGCGGTTCTTGAGTTATGCTCGGAAGCGAAGCCCACCCCTCACTTTTGGGACTAAGTCGAATCGTTTCCATGGAAACCGGGAAAAATAAAAATGCCAAAAATCTGCAAATAGCAAAAAGGCACCACTTTAGGATCTGTTTGATATATCTACCAAGTTTTGTTGAAAAATATTGAGCGGTTCTTGAGTTATGCTCCGGAAGCGAAAGCAATCCTTACTTTTGAGACTAAGTCAAAATGTTTCCATGGAAACCGGGAAAAATAAAAATGCCAAAAATCTGCAAATAGCAAAAGGCACCACTTTTAGGTTCTGTTTGATATATCTACCAAGTTTTGTTGAAAAATATTGAGCGGTTCTTGAGTTATGCTCCGGGAAGCGAAGCCCACCCCTCACTTTTGGGACTAAGTCGAATCGTTTCCATGGAAACCGGGGAAAAATAAAAATGCCAAAAATCTGCAAATAGCAAAGGCACCACTTTAGGATCTGTTTGATATATCTACCAAGTTTTGTTGAAAAATATTGAATGGTTCTTGAGTTATGCTCCGGAAGCGAAAGCAATCCTTACTTTTGAGACTAAGTTCAAAATGTTTCCATGGAAACCAGGAAAAATAAAAATGCCAAAATCGGCAAATAGCAAAAGGCACCACTTAAGGTTCTGTTTCATACATCTACCAAGTTTTGTTGAAAAATATTGAGCGGTTCTTGAGTTATGCTCCGGAAACGAAGCCCACCCCTCACTTTTGGGACTAAGTCCGAATCGTTTCCATGGAAACCAGGAAAAATAAAAATGCCCAAAATCTGCAAATAGCAAAAGGCACAACTTTAGGATCTGTTTGATATATCTACCAAGTTTTGTTGAAAAATATTGGAGCGGTTCTTGAGTTATGCTCGGAAACAAAGCAATCCTTACTTTTTGAGACTAAGTCCAAAATGTTTCCATGGAAACGGGGAAAAATAAAATGCCAAAATCGGCAAATAGCAAAAGGCACCACTTAAGGTTCTGTTTCATATATCTACCAAGTTTTGTTGAAAAATATTGAGCGGTTCTTGAGTTATGCTCTGGAAGCGAAGCCCACCCCTCACTTTTGGGACTAAGTCCGAATCGTTTCCATGGAAACCGGGAAAAATAAAAATGCCAAAATCTGCAAATAGCAAAAGGCACCACTTTAGGATCTGTTTGATATATCTACCAAGTTTTGTTGAAAAATATTGAAGCGGTTCTTGAGTTATGCTCGGAAGCGAAGCCCACCCTCACTTTTGGGACTAAGTCCAAATCGTTTCCATGGAAACCGGGAAAAATAAAATGCCAAAAATCTGCAAATAGCAAAAGGCACCACTTTAGGATCTGTTTGATATATCTACCAAGTTTTGTTGAAAAATATTGAGCGGTTCTTGAGTTATGCTCGGAAGCGAAGCCCACCCCTCACTTTTGGGACTAAGTCCAAAATCGTTTCCATGGAAACCGGGAAAAATAAAAATGCCAAAATCTGCAAAAATGCAAAAGGCACAACTTTAGGATCTGTTTGATATATCTACCAAGTTTTGTTGAAAAATATTGAAGCGGTTCTTGAGTTATGCTCCGGAAGCGAAGCCCACCCTTCTTTAAGACTAAGTCCAAAAGCGTTTCCATGGAAACCCGAGAAAAATAAAAATGACAATTATCTGCAAATAGCAAAAGGCACCACTTTAGGTTATGTTTGATATATCTACCAAGAAAAATATCGAGCGGTCTTTGAGTTATTAGTAAACAGGAACTGGTGAATTCACTGACATTACATTAGATATAAAATGAAATCATATGTCTAGGGTGTGAAACTGAAACCAGTTATGCCCTAATGTCTTAAGGTCTATTGTATTCGCCTGTTTCAATCCTGGGACTTGTTCAGATGGTAAATGTTTCCAAATTGCAGTCACCACTGTGTCACATGGTGTTATTGGAGATCAATCTTGTTTTCTTAGGTTTTTACAAGTCCATCCCGTTAATTATAATTAACACGCAAGTCTTTGCCTTCATGATGTTGGTGTACACACTGTATTCATTAATTTGTCATAAACAGTTTGTATGCAAATAAATTATTTGCTTTAATTTTTGTGTGCTGGTTTCTTGATTTGATCGATCGTCTTTCTTTGGGACTGATCACACTTTTACAAATTACTACTAGAACACAATGAAGAATTTTCTTTTTCACTAGCTGACAGTTAAAGAGATAGATAAAGATTTGTCAGTTCTATTTTTTTCATCTGTATATATTTATTATATCTATTATCAGCTGTTAAGGAGGTTACAGGTCTTTATCATTTTATGTATATTTTGCAGATTTATATGACTAAGTATCACGACAAATAACCGATGCTTTACGTGAATGGAAATCGAAAATGTAATAAAACTGATGTTTGATGCACCATATCAGAGACGCGATACATCGACTTCTCGAAAAACATATACTAACGAATTTAGGGTACTTCTGTACTGTATACAGTAGTGAGATCGAACTTATCGACTTCCGTAACGGTACATATTTCATCACCATAATTAAACCTTTACGGACAAATTTAGCAGAAGACGCATTTTATGAAATAAAGCTGAAAGTTACTTAATAATCTTCATAAAATCATGAACCTCGAACGTAACTATTTCAGTGTTTACCTTCCCATACTGATGTATACCGGAAGACAGGCTCAACACATTGATCATTGCCGTTATCATGACTGCAAATGTTACCGTGACCGCGGAAAAATTAATTCAGTATCTAATCAGTTTTCCATGAACATGTGATAGGCAAGTGGCTTGCATACCAGTCTGCAGAAGGTCTATTCAAAACATAGTCATAGTCGGGATCGTCCCACGGCTGTATGTTGTCAACTGGTGGAATCGTTGTTAATATTCCTCTTGGTCTTGCCGCTAGATATACTTTCAAATTAAGAATGTTGCATGTATGTGATATTATCTGTATCTAGTATGCCATTGACTTCGTGGATTGATTTATTTGCTGAACTAGAAGCAGACCTCAGTAAGCGAAGAGGCTCTGTACCACTGTATTTTCCGTGTGTTGATGTAGCGACTCTCGGGTATGACGTCACGCGACCTCATTATCTTGCATAATCGGAAAATGCTTTTGAGGGAGTTGCGTTTTAGATTCCTAATACAAGCTGTATAATGAAATATTACCGTTTTTAACTGTATTTTGTGAATATTATATATACCCAGGGATTCATTAAGAGCGAAAAACCCCAATGTGAAGTGACCTTTTTTAAAAATCCTTTAATTTATGGTAATTCAAATTTTAAAACTTATTCCTTTTTTTTGGTCCAATCATTGCTAAGGAATGTACATACATTTTCAGAATGTTGTTTACATATTAATCAAGTGTTTGTGTGATAATATTATTATTTAGTGTTGTATATAAGCTTCTATTCACAGATTATGTAGCAACATTAGCTGAAGTAACATATCAATTATCATTATCCTTTGGGAAAGTCCATGAGATAGAAGCTTTGCTATTTATAGCATGATAAAAATAGATACTGATGTACTTGACACGATCATCAGGCGTACACGTGCAATAGGGATTTATCTTGGATTGTAACCTGAAAGCCCTAAGCTGGCAATTCAGGATACAAATTGTTAATTTTGTCTAAACTGTTATCTTTAATCATTTCCCCTATTAAATTCAACATTTTTTCAAATTGACATTTTTCATCATGTTATGCAATAACATCAAACTCAGCATTAAATTCCCGCCTTCTTCATTGTTCATGTTATCACTGGTCATCTGTGACCTACAGGTTACCTTTACAAAGACTTACAAATTGACATTAGATGTTACATGAATTTTCAATTTTTAGTTTTTTTTAACACCTTTGAAACTGTGTCAACTTACCATGATCATTATGATAATGAGAAAGGATGACCTATTCATTGTTTCCTTTTTTAAAGATCTGACAAGGTCATCTGTATTTTTAGCTGTATATATACTGATCTTGAGAGACAAAGGCATACATGTCCAAATCAGTTCATTTAAGCTTTATTTCAGAATGTAATGGAATGCAGATATGTATTAAGATGACACAGAATTTTACTTCTCACGAACGGATCAGTTTGAGATTGATACAATGAAAGGTATTTTTATAAGAACCAAAGTTTATTCAAAACGACAATAGAAATGAATGGTGTACCAATCCATACAGAATAATTTGATGACACTGACTGAAACAACAAGTGATCTAAATTATTGTAATACCGACCTCCTACATGTACAATGCACACATCCTGCGCATATAGGAGGTTCATTTATTACTGTCATGGACATTTTGAATGCATGTATACCTGTGCCTTTTTTGTTGTTATGGCTGTTTTATCTTTGTGTGGCTAGTTTGACCTTTATCAGTCCGTTTTGACCACAATCCTATATATAAATAATATATATTGTCAGTGGGACATCTAACAACATGGTCTTATTTACCAATGCCTCAAAATTTAAATATTTCCTAAATCCATACCATAACGTAAAATTTAAAGAAACAATGTTTTGACACAACTGTTCAACTTGTCAAAATGTAGCGAATTTTAAAGGGGCAATACATCAACACTTATTGTTTGATGTTTGATGGAAATTGCACGATGCAAAATTCAATACAAACACGACGTCTATAATAACTACATTTTCCTTATGAAAAACATTAAGCCAGTTGACACCAATATTTCCTTAGTCCTTCGGCTGGTCATGTGATATGCACGAGAAATCATTATGAATCAGCAACCGTCAACAGACATTATCACCTGTGACACAACTATGATGCACAATACTTACAGCCTTGATTGCTTTCGCAATGTTTGAAATGATCCTATCCTTCAACCTCATCCGATCTGATGGGCTGGACATGGTCAAACTCAGCTGCTATGTTACGTTAATTCATGTCTGATGTCATATACCGTCCATTGATGTTTTCCTTGCAGATGACATTTATATCGATTTCCCCTTACAACTTGTAGCAATCGTTTAATTTTGGACGCGCTCTCTGTTGAGTGTTTTAGTCCTTTCGTTCAAATCTATGTGAATTGTTTTAAAACATTGCTGAATTTGAAAAACAAAACCTTCAACATATCTCATCAGCATTCCAAAATGCAATAAAACGTACTTGTATTAATTGGCTAATGAGTATGGATGTTTTAATGTTGAAAGGTGCTGTGTGTATTGGTTGTTAGGTTTTTCAGTAATTTCTTTATTGGATTATAAATGTTTGACTTAAAATTCAAAGTTGACATTTCAATATGTTCATTTTTAAAATTTGGTATGACTTCTACAACTAATGACTGACAAACAAGTTATAAAATGGCAATATACCAAAAAGATCATTTGGATTTTGTTTTTGTTTTTGTTAGAACAAACACTTTTAGATGTATTATTCACTATTCTAACAAACAGTTATTTTAATTGAAAAACAAAAAAGCTCCAATTATAAATAATGATTTTAATTTTGTGTGCACCACATATTACATTGGCAATAATGGAACTAGAAATATAGAACATTTTCACTTTTCGCATGTGCACTGAACTCAGCAATTGTGTTGTAGGGACAGACACAAAATATCTTTTCTCAGTATAAATCTCCTAAACTGTACATATGTTTCAAAATACACATTTGTTGTCAGTTAAATGTTGTGCCATCTTATCTGTTAATGGTATGGTCATCAGAATGTGCACATTAAGTGTGCATCGGAGGACGACTTCTGGTGATTCCTTTACACAAATGAGATATGTTGGAAAGAATATATCATCTTTTGAACGCAATATTAAGCGTAAGAGGAAAAAAGTTTCGTTGTAGGCATTTCTCCTTCTCAGATTTTCAGGATAATTTGTTTTGATTTATTGATGAAAAGCTTATGAAGAAGCATATATTGCGTATTTTATAGCATGTATATAATTTGAGTGTCCTTTGATGCTCGTGAATGTTGTTTTAAGAAAGCTGTGAGACTATCACCAAACGAATGTTACTTTCGACAAGTACTAAAACTTGCCTTGACCTTGCATTTATATAAATTAAGAACCAAATTTCAAATGGAAGAAAATTTACATTAATCTGTGTTAACTGTGAACAGATGGATTAACTTCCTTGACTCAATGTGTATGTGTTTAGATTACATTTATTCGTTGTATTCACATCGTATTTGCAAAACAAAAACGTGTTTTCAGAAACAGTTATACACATTGCACAGTTCGGAGCCATCTTTTTGAAGAAACCAAAGTGACAACATGGCTGACCTAAATAAAAGTCTGCAAGATTACTTGTCACGATCATCGTCGTCTACTTCACTACCAAAAAGTGAAAGTACATCATCTAGTTTATCATCAGGATTTTCTGGATTTGGGTTGTTCAAGAAACAAAATGTTGAAGACCCAAGCCCGACTGACACATCTGGGAACTGGTTCGCCCAGGCGCAGAGCGATCCTCTGTTGCCAAGTTTGGTAAGTGTATACAACTTACTATATTGCCAGCCATACATATGCCACATGTCTTGTCAGTATTTTAAGGTGATCTGCAGAACTCTCGAAATTGACACTTATTTGTGGATGATCCAATTAGATGGACAGTGTAATCATTTTAACAATGACCATGGCAACTGCTTAAATGACGACTAATGCAACGTTTTCTGACGTTAAACGTCAATTTACATGCATGTTATTGATTTCGTTTTCTAAGATATATTGTGAAATATTTTGGAAATTTGCTTTATTTAGGTTCATTGCACCAAACTACAATAACGACCAGTGTTGTATGCTTCATTTATTAACTACTTAACATGATTATCAAGTCTTACATGACTTAAATTGCTCTAAATATTTTATGTATATCCTGTTTTTGTTTTATAAGCTTTATTTTTTCCCCCTTACAGTCAAAGAAGCAAAGAATTCTGGGATTTGTGACATGTTTACTATTGGGAACATTCTGTATGTCACTGGTGAGAACTTTACGATCTTGTGCTCTCTCTCTTCCATGTTAAGAATTGTTTTACAGAATATTTCACTCTTCCTTTTCATCATGACATAGTCACAGAAATTTTGAAGGAGAATGACATTCACATGTGCAAAGACAGGCCAAACCTATTCTTTGTCAAGTCTTTAGCTTTGGTAATATTGAACCCCTTGTTATAACAATATTAACATGACTAATATATAGCAGGGGATATAGCAGTCAGTGAAATAAAATATGGAAAGACTATTTTCATTTTATTTTTTTCCCGATCACAATGATAACAGTATGTCTGGTTAGTCAAACCTGGAATAGAAAAGTTGATAAAAGTGTTGTCAAATGTTTAATGTGCAGTGTGGTGTATTGTGATTGACTTTCTTTATCAGGTTAAAAATGATATTCACTTGTATCGTATGTTTCAGGCTACCCTCTACATACCTTTGCTGCTCATGAAAGCAAGGAAATTTGCTTTACTATATTCCCTTGGGAGCCTGTTCATTATTTCCAGGTGAGAGCTAGAGTTACACATCAGGATTCAATATTTAGTATTTTCACTCCTCCACAAGATGAGTTTCCATTTACTTCGTCATACTGACAGTCAAGGAAATGTCGCTGGTCCTGGACTCTTATCCTTGATTATCCGATTTGTGGTGATTGGTTGGTTGGCTGTTGTCTAACACTGCACTCAGCAATATTCCAGCTATTTGGCGACTCTGTAAATAATCCAGTGATCAACAGCATGAGCATCGATCTACGCAATTGGGATACGATGACATGTGTCAACTAAGTCAGCGAGCCTGACCACCTGATCCTGTTAGTCGCCTGTTACAACAAGCATGGGTTACTGAAGACCAATTCTAACCCGGATCTTCACATGTCAGACTTGTGGTGAATTCAAGCCCCGCTTGTTGGGATTCTGGATGGACTTTGTCGTGATATAGCTAGAATTCACTGTTCCAGGTGAATAGCTTGACCCTGATTCAAATTACCACATGGCAATATTCATAAACAGGATAAATATCTTTAACATTTTACAAGTCAGCCCACTTGAACTTAAGGTTAAATTGCACCAACATATTTTCATGGTGATGTATTTTACAAGAAGGAGAGTTTCATGTAATTATTCAATCATCAAGGTAGGTTAAAGGTATAAGAAGGTAAACTGTCACAGCGAGGTGGCTGAGTTAAAGACAATGGTTTGCAGTTTTATATCCCACCCTAGTCATGCTAGACAAGGATATTGAATACTTCGAACAGCATTTAGAAGTGATACAACTTCTCTATTATGACATCCATAAATGCTTGCCTTAAAGAATATTGTACATGCAAGACTGTAATGGTTGTAACTTGTATTTCTCCCCAGCTTCTCCTTCCTGTGGGGACCTGTACATCATGTTAAGCATCTCTTCTCACTTGGAAGATTGCCTTTTACTGCTGCATATTTCGGAACCATGCTCCTTACACTGTACTTTGCTATGTGGGTGAGTTTATCATGCATATCAACAAGGCGATGAGGTTGACACACAAGTAATTTGAAAATTCTGAAAATGCAAATAATCATCATAATTATCTGGGTATCATAAAAATCCTGGACACACACGCATAGTTACAGCATATGTAATGTCTAGTTGGAATGATATCATCATGGAAAAATGTAGTTCAGTTAAATTAGACTTTTGTATGACTGAAAGAAGGCTCGGAATTAGCAAAATGGGATGAAGAGTGCACCATACAATAAAGGCTAATTACTGTGCAGAGTTACATCCCTTTGTGGTACCACAATCCAATGATCATGGATTTGAATCCCAGATTTTTTGATTTTTTAAAAAAAGTTCTTATAGTTTGAATCCTAGAGTTGATCTAATTATTATTCTGGTTTAGAATTTGGTCAAGCGGTTACTTGTTTGAATCGAACACTTAACATGTTCTAATCATAGATGTTGTAAATGTGTAAAACTTGCCTGTAAGTCCTACTTTTCTTTCCTTTGCAGGTGAAGAGTACAATATTTACAGTCATTTTTGCCATTGCTCAAGTCATAGCATTAATATGGTAGGTGCCAATTCAGATAGATATATGTTATTCATACATATCATGTTTTATAAGGTTTGGTTTGGTTGTTGGTTGATTTACGCCTCACTCAGCAATAGTCCCAGCTATATGGCGGTGATCTGTACTAAGTCGGGCGGTGGGGTAGCCTAGTGGTTAAAGCGATCGCTCGTCACGCCGACGGCCCGGGTTTGATTCCCCACATGGGCACATTGTGTGAAGCCCATTTCAGGTGTCTCCCGCCGTGATATTGCTGGAATATTGCTAAAAGCGGCGTAAAACCCAACTCACTCACTCACTCACTCTGTACTTAGTCAAGTCTGGACCAGACAATCCAGTGATCAACAGCATGAGCATCAATCTAAGCAACTGGGATATGATGGCATGTGTCAAACAAGTCAGAGACCCTAACCACCCGATCCCGTCAGTCGCCTCTTACGTGGCACAAAAGGAATGATATTAGTGGATGATAGTCATGCTTGATCCCCATAGTTAATCTGTCTACATGTCATGATCTGACTGGCTGATATCTATATATTAATACAGGAGGGCTGTTACGATTTGGTGATCCAAACCCACCATGACAGGTTTCAGGAATGTCTAAAGCATGATGATGTTGGAAAAGTGGAGTTGCTATAGCATCTATCAGTGTATTATTTACAATAATGGTCACTGACTTCAAACCTGAAGTAGATTAAAACTTGCACAAGTGGCACATCCAGTTGTTGTTTGAAGCCTACACCAAAAATATTGAAAACGGTTTTCAAGAGTTCTCGTCCCTCAGAATGCTTTTCCACTTTCAAAAGTTCACCATATTAAATGTGTTTTTAAGCCTCAGCTCAACCCTGGGTTTGGTTGGGTGGGCCTAATGGTTAGAGCGTCCGCTTGTCGCTGAAGACCCTGGTTCGATTCCCCACATGTGTACAATGTGTGAGGCTCATTTCTGGTGCCTACCACCATGATATTGCTGGAATATTGCTAAAATCGGCATAAAACCATATTCACTCATTCAAAGGATCATCCATTGCTTCTCAATTTCCTAAACTAACTTACTCATCAATCCGGAACACTCCAAAAGTTCAACTTGCTTTCCATCTCTTCACAGGTACATCATCAGCTACATTCCAGGTGGACAAACTGGACTAAAATTCTTCACCAAAATATTTTACTCTGCAGCATCAAAAACAGCACAGAAAACTCTTCCAATATGAAGTATTGGATGAAAGTCTTCATGGAACCAGCATGGGTGTCATGGTGACACATAAAAGAAGAATTAGTTCCAGACAACCTCTTTGACTCTTCAAATAGTTCTGAAAGAAAGACAATTTTTGTGGGCTTTATGTTTTTACTATATATGTATATGTATGCCCCCAAATCTAAATGCCTCTCTCCTTTGGCAGTATTGGTTGGGTTAAATGGCAAACAATGTGCTGAGGTTTGCTGTTGATGGTATTTGTTGGCGCAAACTTGTTTATTAATTATCCTGGCATTCCTAAAGCTGTGGCACTTTCTTTGGACTGACTGGCTGGGCCATCTGTTCTTCCGTGTGAGAGACAACACTTTACAGTAAACACGCATCACACTTAATTCCTTAAAATATTTATTTGGCTTACAGATCCTATGAATCAAACTGCTGACTACAATAAACAAATGACAAATAATAAACAAATGTGAAATCTAAAATAAATTATTTTTTTTACTTTTATCATGAAAACTTTTGAAGATAAATAAACAAAAAATATCTTTCAGGATATTGCAATTTAGCTAAGAGAGGACTTCGCCTTAAAAAAAATGTTACTTTGCAGTTGGGCTGCCATTTTTAAACAAACCAAAAAACAAGCAATGAAAAATAATTGTCATAACACTATTCTGTGAATAAGATAATCACCAGCACAATGGAGCAGAGACTCTTTTCTTCAAATAACAATTACGGCTATCACTCAGTTTACAGATATGTAAATATCACACTTCTAATATAAACAACTGTATTATTCTTGGCTGTGTTATGTATATATTGGAGAGAAACCTGGTACATTAAGAGATAGTTCCAGCTGTATATATTTTGTACATATCATGAAATGGAGAAATATAAGTATTTTGTTTCATTGATCAATGTTTTGTGTTGCAACAGCAACATTCTATTTTATTTGTTATCATTTAGGTGCGTAACAGTGCTAGTCAGGAAACATTTGAAATGACTGAAGGCTGATATGACTGTTCAGAATACATATGGGATGGTGTCCTTATATGATAAGGGACCGTTTATAAGTCATGGCTAGGGGGGTCAGTGTTTGCCCTAGGCATAAAAAATTAGGAGTCATCATGACTCCCTGGTATCATGAGAGGGAGTAATGGACATGTTTTGGGAGTCAACTTCAGTTTGGGACTTTCATCAAGACATCAACTGTGATTGTTCAATAACAACACAAAAACAAGGTGAGGCAGGTCAGGTATTTAATCACTTAATCTAAGCAGTTACCTGGCAAACATTAAACTAAGTAGTGTGGATTATCTGAACTAAGGGCCCAGTAGCATTGTGTCAACAATGATGCAAGCTTCTAAATTCACTGCGTATTTGAGTTAATTTGTGCATCAAATAGACAAGTTTTCTGCGTCGTTGCAAACACTGGGGGGTGAGGCTGATTTTTATGGAGAAGCTTGTACAATGTGAATTACCCACCCAAAATATATCTACAAAGTACAAAATCAATGACATCCCCCTTAGTACAAAACTGATGACCCCCTACCTCCCCAGAACAAAATAGGTGACCCCCCTTAAAACCATCATCAACACCACCCTCCACCCCCAAACCATAACTTATAAATGGTCCCTTAACATGAACAAATTTCCATCTTCAGGGTAAACTGTAATCCTTTCATCAAGGTGTTTGAGATGTGTATTTTGTTTTGATCCATCACTGGTTTGCGTCTGAGACAGTAACTAAAAGATTTCATATCAGTAACCAAGAAAGACTTAATCTGGAAACTTTTGTATGATAGTGTTATTTATATGAACAAATATGTGGATGGTGATTTTGTAGATCTGTATTAAGCAATTGATTTTCATCTGATGTTTAGACTGTTGTAAATATCAACATTGAATATTCTTATTGGAATAGTTAGGGAGCAACCATTTGATTTTCAGGATGTGGGGGGCGAGATTAGGTTTGAGATGAGCATGTTTTTGTGTAATGTCAAGGAGCTAAGTTACTATTAACAAAATCAACATGTCTCAGACCACTCCATCCTCATCCATAAGCAAAAAAAAGGATGCTCCCTTGTGAAGAGTAGGAGCATAGAAATAGAGCAAGACCCCGTCTTTCTCTGTTTCTGTGGTAGAAGGCACGGTAGCCGAGTGGTTACAGTGTTGGCTCATCAGACCAGACACCAGGGTTTGATTCTGAAGATGGATGCTGTGTGAGGTAAGGCTGGGACGGGTACTTGGGTACTCGAATCTGGGTCGGGTACAGCTGGAATTGAGTCCTATTTCTGGGAATCGAGTACCCGGAAAGGGAGAGAACTCTGCAATGACAAGGGCAAATAATAACTTGTCTTTTTCATTATTGACGTAACACACATTTACATCATTGGTATTGTATGATTAATGGAGGTTATTATTAACGACTGTAATTTATCTGTGAGTAGTGAATAGTCAAGTTACAGTAACAGCGAGCAATGTAAGTAATGGTGTTCCACTTTATATTGGTTAAACAGACGTAAATTAAATAGCTTGAGATCAGTTTTAATGTCTTATTGCCAGCCTTTCAAGTTTTCTATAATAATCTCTGTCAAATTGTGATTGAACATTCAGAAAGTTGACAGAAGCGCTGTATTCCTTATATTTCCGGGTACTCGATTCTGATTTGGGTAAGTACATGCGGGTACTCCATTCCTTTTTTTCTTACCCATCCCAGCCCTAGTGTGAGGAGACCAGTCTTGGTGGAAAGGGAGACAACTCAATCTACCCCACCTTACCACTAATGATACAAATCATGAACATCTGTGTATGTATGTACAAATTTGGGAGTATATGTGTTGTATGTTTTGTATGTGGGTCATGTGTACATTAAAATGTTAGTACTTACAAGAATTATTGTAACTGCTAATACCTTTACAATATCAGTGAGTCTGAATTGTTGTTGTTGTTGTTCAAAGGTAGAGTTGGATCGTTTGTTGTTTAACACCTCACTCAGCAATATTACAGCTATATTGTAGCGGTCTGTAAATAATTGAATCGGGACCAGACAATCCAGTGATCAACAGCATGGGCATCGATCTACGCAACTGGGATAGGAAGTCTGACCACCCGATCCCGTTAGTCGCCTCTTATGATATGCATGGGTTACTGAAGACCAATTCTAACCCGGATCCCTCTCATAATAATTACATGACATATTTTTGACTTGGGGTTGAGTCCCGGTATGATGCTTACATCTATTGACAGTGTATGAAATAAGGCCCGTCCGAACGGCCAAAGACAGGTTAGATTTCAGACGGACGGTCTAGATTTACAGCTAGCCAGCCCGATGGTCTGGTAACAAATTTAGATGTTATATACATCTGAGTCCTATCTTGGTGTCTGGCCTGGTTAAATCCATTTTGGACTGGTAACATTTTGAAGTTACCAGCCCTGATGTCTGGCTGGGATTTTGGCTTATTTCATACACTATTGAGTGAGCGAAATTATTTTTCAACAGTAATATCCAACAGGGATACCGTATACATTTTTTGCAAGCCAATTTTAGATTTGAGTTGTCAGTTCTTGTTTCCCAGACAGAAAAAAAAGTAGCCCTGGGATATGACACATTTCACAAACTTGGACAAGTCAAACCTTCATTAGAACTTGATTAGACGCAACTAGGGGTGGGTATTGCAGTGAATTTTCGTATTGCGATATATTGCGATGCGAAAGCATGTATTGCGATATGTATTGCAATATATTGCAAGAATTATTTTCGAGTTAATGCTTGATTTGTTAAGCAAAACCACAACAAAATCACAATGCTTGATTAGGCTTTAAGAAAACTTTTAATCATGGCAAAATATAAATGTAAATAATGTTTGGCACAAATGAAACAAGGAAAGGAACAATTTAAAAAACGGAAATATCCGAAGATTTCAGAGTGTTACGAAGTTTTCCGAATGCATGTCAAAATACCGGTTTTCGATCAGCGTATCGCAATACGTATCGTTTCCATGTCTGAACCGGTAAATACCGGTAAACCGGTTATATTGCACAGCCCTAGACGCAACTCAACACAACGTCAATGTGATCTAGGTGGATTCCACCATCACATCATCAGTGTATCCTGGAATGATATTACTGATGGTTGCTTTGTTGGGTGAGTGTGTTTAGTCTTACGCCGCTTTTAGCAATAATTCAGCAATAAAATGGCAGGAGACACCAGAAATAGGCTTCACACACTGTACCCATGTTGGGAATGGAACCTGGGCTCCATTGAGGCAGGCGATTGCTGTAACCACTGCACTATCCCCACCGCCCTTAATCAAAAAGATGAAACATGGCATGACAGCTTTGTGAGTGGTTTTGAATAAAAGTCAAAATGTCGGTTTTAAACATGAAACAATTAACATCCACTTCATAATCTTGTGACCCTTTTGCCTTATGCAATTCGTTTACTTCTTGCATTTCAAAGTACACAACAATGGCTAAAATACTGCTTGCTCCAAACAGTGACTGAGTGAGTTTGGTTTTACGACGCTTTAGCTATATTCCAGCAATATCACGGCGGGGGACACCAGAAATGGGCTTCACACATTGGGAATCGAACTCGGGCCTTCAGCGCAACGAGTGGAGCATTGACCTCTAGATTACCTCAAAGCCCTTCCATTGTTGGAGATGTGGGCCCAACATTACCTGAGTTGGCCATGGCAACACTGGCAACGAGTGTTCTTCACAGATTAATCAATGTTGAGCCTTTCACATGCTTATGGCTCTGTAGACGAGGTAATAGTCTGTCTCACAGTCCCTGAACCACATTAATTTCCCTACTGCTAAGCCCTCTCTGCAATGCTAAAACCCTAAATAAAGCAAGTCTAGATTTCCTCAGGTTCTGAATCTCTGGTCTCCCTAGGGCTCCTTTTCAATATAAATGGGCTTGTTTGTTACTATCAAAATTATATACCGGTATATTCAGAGACTAAGCCTTAGTCTAACGAGGTAACTGAGCACCATTACGCTGTGTCATTGTGACTAATACAGTGGAGGAGGAAGCATCATGGTGTGGGGGAATTCAATTGTCATCCAGTTACTGCTCCACACATGGTCCTTCTTCATCTGGCTATTGGTGTGTACAGCAATGCTCTTCATAATCATGTCAGACCTCTCTTCCTGAGTCAACCTCAACAATAGGTCTTTCAGCAGGACACTGGGGACCATTAATAATTTATGGCTTGGGGTGATGATTTTGAGAGGGGGGTGCACCCAGTTTGTTCTGGGGAGGTAGGGGGGTCATCAATTTTGTACACAAGTACTTGGGCGGGTCAGCGATTTTGTATACATAATATTAACAAATTATGCTTAAAAAGTTTGGGAAACGGGAGGGGGGCAAGGATTTTGTGCATGACCCACAAAAATGGGGTGTGTGTGTGTGTGTGTCACTTACTGAATCGTTTCCATGGAAACCGGGAAAATATGCCAAAAAGCTGCAAATAGCAAAAGGCACAACTTTAGGATCTGTTTGATATATCTGCCAGGTTTTGTTGAAAAATATTTTACGGTTTTTTAGTTGTGCTCAGGAAACGAAACCCACCCCTCCTTTTGGGACTAAGTCCGAATCGTTTCAATGGAAACCGGGAAAAAATGCCAAAAATCGGAAAATCGGAAAATAGCAAAAGGCACCACTTAAGGTTCTGTTTGATGTATCTACCAAGTTATGTTGAAATATATTGAATGGTTCTTGAGCTATACTCCGGAAACGAAGCCCACCCTCCCTTTTGGGATTAAGTCCGATTCGTTTCCACGAAAATTGGGAAAAATAAATATGCCAAAATTCTGCCAAATAGCAAAAGGCGCCACTTTGGCATCTGCCTCACATATCTGCCAAGTTTTGCTGAAAGATAATGAGAAGTTTTCGAGTTGTGCTCCGGAAAACGAAGCCCAACCCTCACTTTTGGGACTAAGTCTGAATCGCTTAAAATGCCAAAATCAAATAGCAAAAGGCACAACTTTAGGATCTGTTTGATATATCTGCCAGGTTTTGTTGAAAAATACTTTACGGTTTTTAGTTGTGCTCTGGAAACGAAAGCAATCCTTATGAGATAGGTCCAAACATGAAACCCCTTACAAAAATCTGCAAATAGCAAAAGGCAACACTTTCTGTTTTGTTTGATATGTCTACCCAGTTTTGTTGAAAAATACATGCCCACCCTCACTTTTGGGACTAAGTCCCGAATCGCTTTCCATGGAAACCGAAAATAAAAATGCCAAAAATCTGCAAATAGCAAAAGGCACCACTTAAGGTTCTGTTTGATATATCAACCAAGTCTTGTTGAAAAATATTGAACGGTTTTTGAGTTATGCTCTGGAAACAAAATGATTACGGAAGGACGGACGACTAGGCGACGATTATATCCCACCCATTACATGCCGGGTGGGAAAATCATCATCACACCCCCTAGCCATAAATTATGAACTGTCCCTTGGTCGTGAAGAACATTCCTGTGGTGTCCTGTCTATCTTTGCCAAAACGCTTTGCACCAGCTAAACATGGCTGGGACAAATTGTGGACACTGCAAGACGGCCACACCCATTTCAGGAACCAGAAGCCTGTTTCGAGTGGGGATGGAATGGGATTCTCCTAGCCTTTTCAGGTTTGTCAACTTGTCATTTTTCTGTTTGGGGGATTTTTCAATAATATTGGCCAATCTATGATTGCTGTACCTAGTTATGCTGCACAGAACACAAAATAACATGTGAAACAAATTGTGTTTTGGTAACACAATATTTTGATGCTCCAGTATTCAATAGTTAACACTGCATTATGTCTTTGTACAAATTGTAAAAACATGTAAAATATTTGGAAATACTTTTATTTCTAAAGAAAGGTATATATATATATATATATACACAAAATGTCCAAAGTAGTACAGGTGTTCTTTTATAGATAATATATATATATTGGTTTTCTCCAACATTTTGTTTACTCTTCAGGAGATTGTAACCGCTACAATCTCCCTGAAGAGTAAAGAACTAAACATGTTGGATATGTTTTTCCTATATATATATATATATATATTCCTTTATACATATTTTGTTCGAATATACACAAAGTTTTAATGTCATAAGTACATTCTGTACAATCAGGCTCATTTCATCCAGTGAAGTCATTCAAAACTTTAGAAAAATATCTGCAACAACATGAAAGATCACATACTAATAACAATAATAAGGTTGATCTAACCTATGCATCAAATACATCACTATATCACAAAAGTAGGTTGAACGCTTTCTCTGAATACATTGTCTGGTGTAGTGGGTGAGGGAATTTGGTTTAAAATCACTTTGAACAGTATCAAACTTTTTCACTATGTGTCATCTTGAGAGGTGCCAAAGATCCGGCTTCAATTAATTCCCGACATGGGTACAATGTGTGATGCCCATTTCTGGTGTTCCCTGCCGTGATATTGCTGGAATACTGCAAAAAAACGGTGTAAAACCCAACTCTCTCCCTGGAGGAGGAAGGACAACACCAGTTATACAGTTTATCTCTGATGGATTCCATAAGCATGGGTAAATTGCTGACAAGCCTTCATATATAATCAAGGCATTACATGAGTTTAGGGAGACAGATTCAAGGCGAGGTGAGGTGAAATTGGGTTTAACGTCGTGCTTGAGAATATTTCGCTCATATGACGACGTGCATGCGTGTGTATGTGTAGGTGTATATGCGGCTACTTGTACTAGCCCAGACTGAAGCTAATTTTATAGTGCTAGCCCACTGAGATACCATGCTGCAGTGAAGCATGAATACCCCACTCAGACACATTATACTGACTCCGAGCAAACCAGTCCTTGTTGTGCCCATTGATGCCGAGCGCCGGGCAGGGACCAACAAGTACCATATTTTAACATACAGATTCAAGGAGCAAAAGGGCATGGAACTACAACAGGAACAGAACGACAATTGAATTATCATGTGTAAAGATGTTTGAGTGCAAGTTTCCTATTTTCATTCACAAAGTTTGTTTGTTCACCTCCGAGGATACAACAGTTTTGACTGGGCACAATACACGAAATAGCAGTAATGCAATGCACATGGAAAATATGATTTTACTTGGCCTTTATTCTGTGTTGCGTAAAACGCGGGGGTCATCTATGGACCCGAGACCCGCGTAATGAGAAGGGAAGCTTGTATATATGTCAGACAAGAAGTTCAGCTTTGTGAATGTCTAAATATCGATAAGTGCACACTACAAAAGTCGGTCAAGCTCTTTATACAATTGTGCCACCTCGGGAGGCCTTGGAATTGAAACAAAACTGTTCTTGAAACAATATCAAAACTTTCAAAAGCCAAAAACAATTTAACAGGTACTGTTCAGTGGACATCTGAACAAGAGTTCCTGAGAAAATTAGCATGTCATGATGTAGCGATGAAATCATTCTCTTCATTTTGTCTTCTTGATAATACAGAAAATGATTCTTGCTTTTTGTTGAGTTCACCTAGTTCTCAACGTAGTTCAACTTTCAGCTTGATTGGTTTCTTGGGTGCAAAAACTCCTGTGGTAACAAACTCTGTCAGTTCATCCTGCAAAAGAAATATTACAGACAGTCATAGTTGCTGAAAATATAACATGACATATATTCCTTTCTGTTGAAATATAACAAGGTGTTGTCAAGTGGATCAGAAAGTAAACTTGGAATTAACATTGCTTTAAACAGTGTTTTGTTCAAACGACAGAAAAAATGCAGATACTCGTTTTTTCCCAAACGATCTCCACAGTCTCACTCTAGTCTATCTCACAGTCCCTGAACCACATTATTTTCCCTACTGCCAAGCCTCTCTGCAGTGCTAAAGCCCTAAATAAAGCAAGTCTAGATTTCCTCAGGTCCTGAATCTCTGGTCTCCCTAGGGCTCCTTTTCAATATAAATGGGCTTGTTTGTTACTATCAAAATTATATATATTCAGAGAGTAAGCCTTAGTCTAAGTCTCACTCCTTTATAATGTTGTGTGTGTCTGTTGTTGAAGGCCACAAATGACAACACTCCAACTATGTGATGATGGTCTGATCTTTTAAGTCTCAGGACCTGTTGTGCCCACTATACAGTGAATGTTGCCTATATATCAACATGAGTAAATTGAAGTTTAAAATATATTGTTCTATCTTCTGATTTCAAAGATATCAACATAAGTCAAAGTTTAAAATACATATATATCATTCTATCTGTTCTTACCGGTGTGTCCTCCAGTCTTACAAAGCGGATGTTCCTGATCAGATTGACAAGAGCAACCTTGACCTCTATCAAGGCCAGCCTCATTCCGATACACTGTCGCGGTCCATGTCCAAATGGCTGATAGAGCATAGGGTTGATCTCAGACGTTTTCTCCCACCTGAAAAATGTGTATTCTGGTACAGTTTGAGGTAATAAAAAGTATCAGGGGTGGAAATAACCCATTGCCCGATGTCCGAGTCCAGTGTCTTTTCCAGTTGGGTAAGCAAATTTGTATATCACGCTGTACCAATGCCCAGTTGACTTTCAAATATTAATTATGTTGTTTATTTAAAAAATTAACAAGAAAATCAGCCGGTATAGAGGAAAAATTATCAGGGCAAGTGATTTTACATGTGCCACTGTACCAGTGTACACTAGCAATTTTAAAGTTATTTCCACCCCTGTGTATGTGATTTTGAGTGAGTGAATGAGTATGGTTTAACGACGCCTTTAGTAATATTCCAGCAATATCGGGGCGGGGGACACCAGAAATGGGCTTCACAATCCAATGATCAACAGCATGAGCATCGATGTAATGAGGGGATGTGTAACAGGCTGTGTATTCATCCCACTTACAGTATCCTTGCTTTGTCAGCATGATACAGGGTCTTGTGAGGGAGGCATCAGAAGGTCCTGGATCTCATCACATAACCCACAGTGAGTGAGTGAGTGAGTGAGTGAGTGAGTGAGTTTAGTTTTACAAAGCTTTTAGCAATATTCCAGCAATATCACTGCTGGGAACACCAGAAATGGGCATCACACATTGTACCCATGTGGGAAATTAATTGAACCCGGATCTTTGGCACTTCTCAAGATGACACATAGTGAAACAATTTGATACTGTTCAAAGTGATTTTAAACCAAATTCACCAGGGTCTTCGGCGTGACGACTGAATGCTTTAACCACTCACGGCTACACGACTGCTGAACATTGACAGCTTGTTTGTTTGTTGTTTAACACTGCAGTCTGAAAATTGCAGCTTTTATCATTGTTCTGTTAAATATCCAGACTGAACCAGACAAACCAGTGACTGACATCACGAGCATCGATTCAAGCAATTCACATACTATTGCTCATGGCTAACTATATACATATTCACAACTATAAGTTGTATGCTTCTCTCGAGGGTAATACAGTCTGATGTCGCCTCTTTGTAGCATTGTCACCCAAGCTGGTATTTTATTTTAAAGATCGCTACCAACTATATGACATCTAAACAAAATGCCATCTGCCCTCGACTGGATTTTTTAAATCAGTGAAACATTCTGACAAGGTTAACACTGCTATAAAAATGGTTAATTATGTTTAAGTGGAGTGTGCAAACGATTCAATGTATAAAATAGTTTAAATAAAGCAGTGAACGTCGGTAAAATAAATCTGTACACACTGAACTTAAAAACAGCTAATCGAACGGTTTTAGAACTTCGGACACTGCATGCGTCATATTATGACGTTATATGATTGTTAGCCATACAGCTTATCGGCGGAGAGTTTGGCGGTTACTGTGGCGACGGGTAATATTTTTTCCGGTTGTCACCCTTCTGGGAGGGGTGACACGGAAACTTGTTAAAGTGTCATTGACCAATGAAATTAAAGTATTTCACATGAACGTAAGATAAAATGACTACTCCATCTATTTAGTCAGCTTTGGTTGCTGGGGACACATATTTTCCTCCTGGATCCCATGGGAGAATTATCGTTGCTGGAACAATATGCTTACTAGGGCTGTAATGATGCATCGAACTATTGATGGATTGCAATTGTTAAGTCTTCGATAGCAATCAGTTGATGGTAGAAATGAAAAACTATTAATGCATCGATAGTATGTGTGGCTATTGGTAGTTTAGTAATTGACTTCGGTTGATAAATGCGTAGCGCAAAATACAGGAAGTACCAGGTTCATTCACTTTGATTTAGCGTGCAGACTTGCAGCTTCATTGAGTTTATGTTTTAACTGGTTACTTGATCTGGGTTTCAAGTTTCTTGTCAGTTACTTAATAGTCACCCCAATGCTTACCTCTCAGGTTTGAACTTCTTGGGTTCTGGGTAGATCTCTGGGTTTCTGTGCATGATGACAATGGGGATGTTGACGAATGCCCCCTTAGGAAATGTCCATCCCTTGATTGTGGTGGTCTTGGAAATGTAGCGGTTAACTCTGAAGTCAAATATCAACATCCTTTCTCACATAGGACAAGTGTGAAATTGTGGTGCAGATACAATTGACAGTACTGTCAGGTGCGACTAATGGGATCGGGTCATCAGGCTCGCTGACTTGGTTGACACACTGCACTCAGCAATATTCCAGCTATATGGCGGCGGTCTGTAAATAATCGAGTCTGGACCAGACAATCCAGTAAGCATGAGCATCGATCTATGCAACTGGGATACGATGACATGTTTAAACCAAGTCAGCGAGCCTGTCCACCGAACCCCCTCAGTAACCATTAATAACAAGCATATGTAGCTGAAGATCATTCTTGCCAAGGATCTTCACATCCACATGACTATATTAAGAAGAGGACTTTGCCCTGGAACCAGCTTCATATCTAGCATTACACTGAATAACGAGCAAGGTGCCGAATGCCGGAAGGTGATAAAAGTTGATCCACAACAACTTCCATAGATTTGAATAATAAATAAAGGTCCTGATTCTTACGCTGGAACCACTGGGTAGAGTCTCAGAGTTTCGTTGATCACCCGATCCATGTACACCAATCCGTGGATATTGTCATAATCAGGTTCTTCCTGAGAATAAAATAACAAAACATGAACAACACGAGCACCACTTGAAAATGTTAATAGAAACATGAAAGAACAGAGTAGACTAAAACCCTTTTTGAGCAGAGTGTACCTGTCATGATCTACATCATTTAAAAAAATTATATTCCATATATTTACATCAAATTCTCAGAACTTGCTAGTTATGTCACCCAAGATGTATTCAGTACAGTATTTTGTTTTGTTTGTTGTGTAAAGCCGCACTCAGTAACATTCCAGCTATATGACATCAATCTGTAAATTATCAACCCTGAACCCCTCCAGTGATCAACATCATGAGCATCGATCTACACAATTAGGATACGATGACATGTGTCAACCACGTCAGCAAGCCTGAACACCCGATCCTGTTTGTCGCCTCTTACGACAAACATGGGTTGCTGAAGATCAATATTCTAACCCTAACCCTCACAGGTTCAGTATAGTAATATCATCCTCCCTTTTTCTACATCAACAAATGTTTTCAAGTTTGCTTCGTTTTCCTTGACTAAACCATTGTCCAATAAACAATAGATAAGGCTAAAAATATTCTTGTACCTATTTGGCTGCAAAGATAAAGATCCAACTTCGTATGGTTACAATGCAATGATCATGAAATATAGCTACAAATTGTTCTTGCAGATGTAATTTAAAAGTTGTAATGAAAACGTACATCTCCAAGTACTGATGCTACTTCCTCTACGAGCCTGTCCTGCACATCTGGATGAGTTGCCAGGATGTAGCCAATGAAGTGCAGCGTGCTAGCCGTGGTTTCGTATCCAGCCAGGAAAAAAACAAACGCCTGGCCAATCACTTCATCCATCGTCAGCGCTGAAGAGAAATAACACTATTGACATGAGTCTGAGTAAACTAACACTATTGACAATAATTATTTGTTACACTGCTATACTGAGTAGAAGGTCGTGTCAGCTAACCTTTGAGTGACCTATGACCGTCCAAACAAAGGCGAGACGGTTGAACGGATTTAAACAATCAGACAACGACTACTTGTTAGGGTTCGGCAGGACTTACAAAACGGTTTTTGAATTTTCTCTTCATTGGTCGCTGACACTGATCTATCACCAAACGAAAATCCGCATAAAACACATATATTTCACCTGCAGTATATACGCTTATGGGTTTCTAATGACATGGTTACTATTTGCTTATATTTTCACAAGATAACATCCTTGAATATTGACCAAAATGCTATTTTCAGCGACTGTTTACTTACTGCGTGTATCACTCGGAAGCGATCGTGCGGAAAATAGCATTCGGAATCGTTCGGGTTTTGGAGGTAAAGGTTCAAACGGTATGTGCGAATGTTAACTTTCGCGATTTGGTAAGCTGTGTTCTGATTGGTCAGTCCAAAAGGTTAGCTGACGCGACCTTCTATAAGGTTTTGTTAGACTCAGTATAGCAGTGTAACGAATAATACTGAGCCTAAGTTTACTTAGACTGCTATTTTGACATATACGTCCAGACACAAAGGACAGAGAGTGATTTCTTTACATACATAACCACATATTGTCATGTGTGGTTCACCGGGACCAGAGGACAGAGGGGTAGTCTAGTGGTTAAACTGCTCGCTCGTCTCACTGTCTCACCCTGTTACGATTTCCCACATGGGCAGAATGTATGAAGCCCATTTATGGTTTCCCTTGCCATATTGCTGGAATATTGCAAAAAGTGGTGTAAAACTAAACTCACTCACTCACTCACTTGCAGGGGCCAGAGGTTAAGAAGTGTGCAAAAGAAAATGTACACCCATGTATGTTTTTGATCAACATCATTAAAGGTTAACAATTCATGGATATATACAGTGGAAGCCCTCTAAACCGGCATGCGTTAGGACCAGCAAAAAATGCTGGCATAGTGGGCGTGCCGGTTTAGTGAACTTTTCCCTTTTGAACATGAGAATGATATTCCGTGTGCCATAAAATACGACTGAACAACGTGTTGATAGTCATCATATTCTTCGCTCACCATCTTGACACAGTGAGCGACTGACAAATTGTGACACGACAATTAATTTATAATACAAGTGACACATTTCACTCACCAATTTACCTGATCTACTCAGGTGTAATCCTTAACCATACTCAACCGTACTTAACCGTAATCCACTGTGCTGTTAATACACGTTCCGCTAATCTTCAAAGCCATCTTGACACAGTGAGTGACTGACAAATTTGTGAAACGCCAATTAATTTATAATACACGTGCCAGTGCCACTCACCAATTTACATCACTTACTTATGCTTAACCACCGTACTTAACTGTAATCTACTGCGTTGTTAATATACGTTCAGCCAATCAACAGGAGAGCCAAGATAGCGGATGCCGGTTTTGTGAGCGTTAATTACTGTACAAACAGTCAATTGGGCGGTCTTTGTTGTGCTGAATTACGGAATAGACTGACGCCGGATTAGAGGGCGTGTGAATGATCATAAATTAACTAGCTTCTGCCGGGACCAAATTCTAGTGCCAATATTGAGAGCATGCTGGATTGGAGGGATGCCGGTTTGGAGGGATGCCGGATTGGAGTCTTCCACTGTAGTAATGTACCTATGTATGTTCAACAGGCACATGTCTGTCTCCAAACAGTAACTGGGCACAAGCTTAGATTTTCAATGTAATGTCAGTGTCTGTTTCATTTTGTTTCTTGGCAACAGAAAATCATGCATACCCAAGAAACCTTTCCTGTTGTTTTGGACTAGTGGCGACATTGGGGTATCATAGTGGGTTAAGTGTTCATCCACCAGGGCAAAGGTCCAGGTTTGATTCTTCAAATGGATAAAGTGATTAAAGCTGCCATTAGAAATGCTTGAATATTGTTAAAGGCAATGTAAACCCTCACTCACTCACACCTATCCTGATGGTGTTGTGTGAGGATTAGTTCACAATGTACGGGTGATGGGGTAGCCTTGTGGTTAAAGCTTTATGGAACAGCATACCAGGACCATGAAAACCATGTTTAATCCATGTCGGGAATGTTTGTTATCCCACTTGTCAGAGGTAAGTGGTTATGGATGTTCCTGAGTTACTTTGGTAGTCAATCTTGGGCGGTGGGGAAGCCCATAGGCCCTCCTGTCTTTGCCAGGATGAAAGATTAAAGAAAATTCTTTTTGAGATGACCCCCTACTCGTAATGCTTCACAGTACAAAAATAATGACAGTCATAATGTATTGTACTGTGAAGTATTATGAGTTGGGGGTCATCTCAAATTTATATATTATATTTTAAACATCTTTAATCCTCGCAAAGTCATGAGGGCCTGTTGGGCGGTCTTGAGGTTAAAGCGTTCGCTTGTCACCCGGGTTCGATTCCCCACATGGGTACAATGTGTGAAGCCCATTTCTGGTGTCCCCCGCAGTGGTATAGCTGGAATATTGCTAAAAACTGTGTAAAACTAGATTCACTAACTAACTATATTTGTAACCAGCAGATACACACAAACATCATTCACTCCACACTCTGTCACTTACTATTGTCTGACTTCTCTGTGGCTTCATCCGAAACCTTGGCTCCATGATGGTCATCAGCATCATCCTCGGCGTTCAACATTAGCTCCAGAAAATCAACCCGCCTCTAGAAAGCAAATTTGACAATTAGGAATTACATATGTACCTGACAAACAGTCACTGCATTCCAATTAAATGATGGACAAGACATATATACAATTCAGAACATGTCTACAACTTTCAAGAAAGGATTGGCGGAGTCGCCTTGTGCTTAAAGTGTTTCCTCAGCATGCCAAAGACCAAGATTTGATTTTCAAAACGGTACAATATTTGAAGCCCATTTCTGGTGTTGTTATAGTGTCGAAAGTTGAGTAAAATAATACTCACTGTCTTTCATTCATTTCATTTGAGAGCCAAGTATTGTCTGCATAAAAATGACAACGGAAGCAGCGAAATTGATTAGCGCATCCACAGGGATGCAGAAAAAGCCCAAATACTTTTTGTAAAAATTTCGATCATGTAACAATAAGTTATCATTGTGTCAGCTACTGTAACAATGATGTGATGATGATGATGATGATGATGATGATACACAATACAATAACAGTAACTGAATTACAACAATATTACAACTTAGTATTAATAATAATATTTAAGTGTCAGGGACCCCTATTTAGTAGTCCAGGACCCCTGAAAATTTAGAGTATGAGTCCCAGGGACCCTCAAATACAGGACTCAAGGTAAATCCCTGGTCTGTCTAGATAAGACTAGTGAGTGAATATTGCAGCAACATCACGGCGGGGCACACCTGAAATGGGCTTAACACATTGTACCCATGTGGGGAATCGAACCCGACGATAACCTCAAGGCTACCGCATCAAGAACATGAAAGTGGTGTTAAAAAAAGCATGTTTGATTCTAAAATGTATTTCAGGATATATGTTCAATATTTTAATCCATACGAATACCCCAAATCAACAGTGTGAGTGAGTGAGTGAGTATGATTTTACACCGCTTTTAGCAATATTCCAGCAGTGGGAGACACCAGAAATAGGCTTCACACATTGTACCCATGTAGGGAAATCGAACCTGGGTCTTTAGCATGACGAGCGAACCCTTCAACCACTTGGCTGCCTGACCATCCCTTGGACAAGTCTTAGAAAATATTTTCCAACAAAAAGCAGCAGTTTGTGCCGATAATATTCACTCAGGGTTTGATTGGCGATGGGTGAAAGGTACGAACCCATTACTACTGCTGTCCCCCAGAATGTGCTGGAACACTGCTGAAATTATGTTTGCTTGTTGTTGTTTTTTGTTTGTTGTTTAACACCGCACTCAGTAATATTCCCGCCATATGGCGGCAGTGACTAAAATTCAAGTACGGACCAGACAATCCAGTGATCAACAGCATCAATCTACGATACATGTGGGAAGTCAGAGCGCGTCCGACAACCTAACAATCTGATCCCGTTAGTCACCTCTTACGACAAGCATGGGTTACTGAAGACCAATTTTAGCCCGAATCTGCACGAAAACGGCATAAAACCACTCGCTCACTCAGTATAATAATGTCAAACGTTTGCTCACCGCTCTCTCCTCCTTGGGTTCACTTCTTCTCTGTTTTATCATTTCTGTGACGGCTTGTGTAAAGAACTTCTTGGTTGACTTTGGGACAGCATGCATTCCCAGCATCTTCATCAAGGGTGTGAGTTCGGGGAACAGCGCTGAAAGTGTTTGTTTCACATTGCAGACAACTCGAATACAGGTGAGTGATGGGGTAACCTTGAATAATTTTCAAATTTTGTTTTACCATTGGAGTTTAAAAGCTTTGAATTGTTATCATTTGACTGACTGACTGACTGAGTTTGGTTTTACGCCGCTTTTAGCAATATTCCAGCAACATCACGGCGGGGGACACCAGAAATGGGCTTCACACATTGTACCCATGTGGGGAATCGAACCCGGGTCTTCGGCGTGACGAGCCAACGCTTTAACCATTAGGCTACCCCACCGCCCCTTGTTATCATTTGAAACATTTTCAACAAATTGCACCATACATTCCAAAGTTTGTTCAGTTTAATCCCGAACAAGTCTTTGCATGTGTTTGTGATGGAGGCCACATGTGGAGAGTGAGTGAGTGAGTTTAGTTGAAAACCGCTTTTATCAATATTACAGCACTATCATGGCATCTGACACCAGAAATAGGATTCACACATTTTCCCCATGTGTAGAATTCATAAAAGGATATAGTAACATGCTGAAAAGACCTAGTATTACCCTTATGTCTCTCAATTACGCAGATCGATGCTCATGCTGTTGATCACTGGATTATCTGGTTCAGACTCAATTATTTACATCCCGCTGCCATATAGCTGGAATATTGCTGAGTGTGGCATAAAGCTAAACTAAACTCACTCACTACTTATAAGTGATTAATGCGTTACCACTGAGTTTCAGTGATCTGCTAAGAAACTTTCACCTCTTGTTTGTCTTTTCTGCCCGGTGTTTCCGGAGTATACCAAGACTGGTTACATTCAGGCACTGACATTTTGTATATATGTTTTATACAAGAAATATATGGGGGCTTGGTGTTTAAAAAAACAAGAAGGAGACAAAGTCATCAATATCCCCCACAATGGTAACATACTCTTCATGAATATGTTATCTAGTTATGACTATATCAGATGTATTGTTTGATGTACCTCAGTAATGCTGATATAGAGTGGTACTGTTGATTTATGTCATCAGGTTCTGGGATAGAGAGTAGTGAAAGGTTGAAAGGTATTAATTTCCTTGTTGCAAATTTGGTGAAGAAACATTAAATGGTTTCAAAGTTCTGCTACGGAAAAGAGCACTACCACCAATTTCTGTCAAAGTCAAAGTTGTTGCGCTAGAAATGCTTAACATATTTTATTCAGAAATCTGAAATTACCAAAGGCACAATTTCACCACCAGACCTATCTATGTGCATAGTTTGGTGAAGAAATATTGGACAGTATTTATTTCTACGCCGAAAAGACAAATTGCACGGACAGATGCATGGCAGTAGTCCAAAATAATACACACTACAAAATGCGTTGGGGGGGAAAATAAAACATTCCCATTTAATAGCTGCCTCAATAATCGGTATTAATGCTACAGTTGAACACCGTTGTGTTGAGCTCCGATAACTCAATATCTCGGTTGTCTCGATATCTCGGTCCATAATGATGATTTATCATTATTCAAGCTCTTTTAACTCAATACGGATGTCTGGATATTTCAGATATCTCGATATAATTTCATGATCCCAATGGGCAAAATTACCCTTTAACTCTATATTTGCAAAGGAACTCGATATTCACCTACCTTTCATGGGCAAGTATCCCTCTGAACTGAGTTTGTTTCCATACGTTTACACACAGTGTGGCATGAATCACTTGTTTGTTATTTAATTAGGATTAATTAAGATAAATTAATTAGGAAGTACTCACTGTTACAACTAAACACTACTGAAAACGGATTACAGTTTCGAATCAAAACATACTGAGAAGTGTGTTGTTGTTTTTTCATAGTGATATGTGATGATATGCCCTGGTGGGATGGCTAGAAGTTCAGATAACTCGATATGTTTTCTTGGTCCCATGAATATCGACAACGGTGCCCGACAGTATTTTAATATATATATCAGGCGTTAAGGAGTGCCATTTTTTATTACACACATTTTGTGTGTTGCATATATTAAATGTGTATGAAACTTACTTATCACAAGAACAGCTGGGTTGGCCAGAAATGCATTATCAAACACTTTCTTGGTTTCAGTGATGAAGCTGTTGTTGAAGTCGTTTTGTGAATCGATGTCAATCCCGAATGCAGTGCTGCCAATGGCATCCATGGTGAAGGCCCCAAAGTACCTGAAATGATCGTTCTCTGTTTTATACAGTGAGTGAATATAGTTTTAGCAATATTCCAGCAGTATTACAGTGGGGGACGCCAAAAATGGGCTTCTCACATTGTACACACGTAGGGAACCAGGGGCCCCTTTCACAAAGCCCTCTTACCGGTACGACCTCGTAAAGCAGGTCGTAGACCACCTCTTACTTTTTTACCCTGTTTCACAAAGACCTCGTATATTTACACTGTGCCGTAAACAGCCCAAAATTTAGGACCCCGATTGACCTGTCGTAAAAGCTTTAGGAGGTTGTAAACACTACAAAGATGGCATCAACGATTATGGCACTGCAAGTGATTAAAACACGGTAACAAAGAAGACAAATGTTGAGACAGGTCAAACATGCTCGACACTAATGTTGTTTTCTAACTGTGCAGAAAGTTAGAGCACCAACTGAACTAACCTACAAGGCGTTCACATGCTATTCCGACCTCCCTGCAAGTGTTGTGTACACAGAGGTATTTGGCAAAAGGGGTTTTCCTCAGTGAAATCAGGGATCTCCATGGAGTATCCCGAGCTAGTGTGTCAAGAATACTCCGCGACACCTCTAGTGCTCTGGACGTGTATCTGGACTTGATTAAAAAAACCTGGGTGCCACAGGGACATATGTCCTTCCTCTTCAACCCTCCCTTTGAAGTCCAATAAAATTCTATAATATGTCAAGCACACAAATATACTTCACAGTTTTGTATTCTGCGGGAAATTCCCTGTTTCTTAATACCATCCACTAAAATCTCAGACAAAGCTAAAGTGCTTTAATAACCTTTCAAAATAGGCTTCATCGTAAATGTCGCCATTTTATACACAATACAAAATCACGATTCACAGCATTATTTGCTGTACAGTGTAGACAGTATGTTTTCAATTGTGAAAATTGGATAATTACTGGGAATACTGAATTTCAAAAATAACATTAATAATCACTGAAATCAGTTTTTCATGATATCACTAATGATAATCTGAAACGCTGCCAATGAACCTAGAACCTGTTTGGATGTTTTCGAAAATATATTTACCTGACGAACCGGCGCGCTTTCCATACATATTGGATAGTGTTTACAAAATCCGCCTCTGCATAAAGGCCCGGTATTGAGACGCCTATTACTTCACGTATATTTCATGGTCAGCTGGGACAAGTGCATCACTGAATTCCCCATACATTTTAAAATCAAATCACAGTTGGTCTTTTTTACCAATACCAACTGGATATTGGGTGTGAAAACAAACGCTGTACTCGAAAGACTGCGCTACTGTAGAAATGTAAACAAAGAAAAATTCTGATTTATATTGCGAAGCAGCCGGCTATTCATTGCTTGCAATGGCTCAATACCTTTAGAATATGTATGGAAAGAGTATCATAGCAAGAAAGAGGCAATTAAAAGTAGATGAATGATTTGATACTTCATAAGAAATTGTCAAAGTTTCCGTGCAGCATGACACCATAACAGACGCAAAAACATGCAGACAGCAACGGTAATGATCAGCATTTCTGGCTTCTTCTCTTACTTACAAAGAAAACATATAACAATACACAGATAGTCAGAGTCACTCTGATTACTTACATTTCATATTTATGTACAAACGATCCCAGAATCAAGGGAAGAGTCCTTGCAAAATCCTGTGTACCCTTGTCAGGAAGCCGCCATTTTGTAAGAAATCGGTCATCGGTTGTGATGTCACATGTCAACATTGTTGTAGTACCACATATTAGGCATTAGATCTATCTTTGAGGTGAAGGTCGAATGAAAAAAACGTAAACACAATCGTCCTATCCTTCTGATTACACTTTCAGTACTATGATGTATATTTTGCGTATCATTCAGATATATTTCAGTACCTACATTTAGCCATGTTCAATATCATATCATACGTGGATTTATTACCCACGTGGTCAACGTATGGGTAGTTGCATACTAATCTCGTACGTCACACGAGTATCGTATCACGTTGACCTGTGTCGTAAGGACTTGACCGGGGATTCTAACGATTTGATTGGATAACCGATGACCATGACGTTGCCGTGTCGCTGCTGAGTCGAACTGAGACATTATATCTGTCGAAAAATATAAATGCAATGTTTCCACCAGTGATGTTAGCCGAGTGAAGCAACTGCAAACCAAGAAACGGGGTGCTACCGAGTAGTTTAATGTAGGAGTCTGTACGAGGCGATGACAACTGACATGCATCGTGACGTCGGTTACCAAGGTAGTGACGTCATCACAGTGTGACGTCATGCAAATAGTGTACTACAGTGCAATACTCTTCCGCAACCTCTTTAGGAAACCAGTTCGGTTTGAAAACATAAAAATAACAGAAAATACACTGTTTTGTCAATTTAATGCATGTAAGACGTGGGTAATAAATAAAATACCACACTCGGTCTCATTACATACGAATTATACGAAACGAGTGTCATGAGTTTCGTATAATTCGTATGTAATGAGACCTCGTGCAGTATTCTCTATTTATTACCCACGTGGTCAACGTGTGGGTAGTTGCATACTAATCTTGTACGTCACACGAGTATCGTATCATGTTGACCTGTGCCGTAATGACTTGACCTAGGATTCTAACGATTTGATTGGATAACCGATGACCTCTCGTTTCGTATAATTCGTATGTAATGAGACCTCGTGTAGTATTCTCTATATAGGGTATACGTTTTTATTCTTTGAAAGTTTTTGATTGTTTGAATAAAAGTTACAAAAGAAATTGAAACATTTAGAGTATCACACCATATTTGAAACCTTTACACAAGTGTTAGTAGATCAAGTGTACCCATAACTGCAACATTGACTTTAGGTCCTATAGTGTACAATATTCAATACATTGGGACTAATATTGCAGTTTCATATGAACAAGTTAATGGACAGCGATTTAATTCAAACCTTATAAGTAAAACTGATAATATTAATGGAAATGATGTATACATTTTATCTTGTAATTTTCAATGGAATTTAGTGAGAGAATCCAAAATAATTCATTTACTGATACTTTTTTACGATAAGATAACCTATACATTGAAATAAAAACATAACATTTGCATTGTTATTCAAACTGTATTTCTATTTTGAAATACTTTGGGAATAACAAAATAAGCAGGTGCCCGTTCGGTCTTGCTTTATGCGTTGCTATGCAACAAAGTACCTCTTATACAATGTATGACATGGATTTAGGACCGCATCGTAAGACATGGATATGACGTCTTTGTGAAATGGTCGTAAAGGAGGTCGGAAGAGGGTCGTAAACAAGGTCGTATGGGCTAGACCTCCTAAATTGAGGAGGCTTATGTGAAACGCGGGCCTGGCTCTTTGGCATCAAGTTTTATGAACAACATGAAACACATAATTTTAAACTGATAATGTGTTTAGTCTTGTGTGAATATAAAAAAAAGCGCCCCCAAAATTTTCAAAAACTTTCAAATTTAATAATTGTGCAAAATAACCACTCCATGAGGCATAAATGATCTGTGAAAATGGATAAACAATTAAATTCTGAGATCACACTAAGTGTTAAGAGTGAGTGAGTTTAGTTTTACGCCGCACTCAGCAATATTCCAGCTACATGGCGGTGGTCTGTAAATAATCAAGTCTGGACCAGACAATCCAGTGATCAACAGCATGAGCATCAATCTGATGAAGTATGTATTTACAACTGACAGACAACTGACAGGTTGTACATGTTGGAAAGCAAACGAGTAATTACAATTTGTAATTAGAAAATGACAAATCCCCGTCCACAATAAATTTGAAAGAACAAATCATTTGACTTGACTTTCTTTTTAAACTAAGCCGAAATCATTTCCATGGAAATCATGAAAAATATAAATGCCAAAAGTCCGCAAATAGCAAGGGCACCACTTCAACATCTGTTTGATATATCAACCAAGTCTTGTAGAATTATATTGAATGGTTTCGAATTGTGCTTCAGAAACAAAGCCCACCCCTCCATTATGAGAACAAAACGTTTTTTGGAAACCAAATAATGAAAATGACAAAAAACTGTAAATAACAAAAGGTATCACTTTAAGTTCTGTTTGATATATCTACCAATTTTTGTTGGAAAATATTGAAAGTTTTTTTAGTTTTTGCTCAGATGCTTTTATGATTGAAGTTCAAAATGATTACTGATAGACAGTTTCCATACGTTTATGTTTCATATATGTTACAGATGCTTTTATGATTGATGGAGTTCTTACTGTTTCAAATCAACTACTTCTCCATTCTCAGCAGCACGAACAAAGTTCTTTGTCAGCTTTTTGGCACTAAAAGATTTAATCAATATTGCACTGATATCATCAAAAGTGCCGACTGATATAGTTAAGGTATCAATATTGCTAACTGATATAGTCAAGGTATCAATATTGCCGATATAGTCAAGGTATCAATATTGCTAACCGATATAGTCAAGGTATCAATATTGCTAACCGACATAGTCTGTATCAATAGTCAAGGTATCAATATTGCTAACTGATATAGTCAAGGTATCAATATTGCTAACCGACATAGTCAAGGTATCAATATTGCTAACTGATATAGTCAAGGTATCAATATTGCTAACTGATATAGTCAAGGTATCAATATTGCTAACCGATATAGTCAAGGTATCAATATTGCTAACCGATATAGTCAAGGTATCAATATTGCTAACTGATATAGTCAAGGTATCAAGGTATCAATATTGCTAACTGATATAGTCAAAGGTATCAATATTGCTGACTGATATAGTCAAGGTATCAATATTGCTAACTGATATAGTCAAGGTATCAATATTGCTATTGCTCAATATTGCTAACCGATATAGTCAAGGTATCAATATTGCTAACCGATATAGTCAAAGGATCAAGATATCAATATTGCTAACGATATAGTCAAGGTATCAATATTGCTAACCGATATAGTCAAGGTATCAATATTGCTGACTGATATAGTCAAGGTATCAATATTGCTAACTGATATAGTCAAGGTATCAATATTGCTAACCGATATAGTCAAGGTATCAATATTGCTAACCGATATAGTCAAGGTATCAATATTGCTAACCGATTGCTAACTGATATAGTCAAGGTATCAATATTGCTAACTGATATAGTCAAGGTATCAATATTGCTAAGTGATAAAGTCGAGGTATCAAGGTATCAATATTGCTAACCAATATAGTCAAGGTATCAATATTGCTAACCGACATAGTCAAGGTATCAATATTGCTAACTGATATAGTCAAGGTATCAATATTGCTGACTGATATAGTCATAGGTATCATCAATATTGCTAACTGATATAGTCAAGGTATCAATATTGCTAACCGATATAGTCAAGGTATCAATATTGCTAACTGATATATTGCTGACTGCATATCAAGGTCAAGGTATCAATATTGCTAACTGATATAGTCAAGGTATCAATATTGCTGCACACAACTGGGATCAAGCTTACATGTTTCAACCTAGCTGACCCCGATATAGTCAAGGTATCAATTTTGTTAGTTGATTTAGCAATATCTGATATATCAAGGCATCAATATTGCTAAACAATCTAGTCATGAGGTATCAGATAGACTGATAATAAGAGCTGAGTCATGCTGAGATTTTAATAAAGAAATACATTCATGAGAGAGACAGAGAGAGAGAGAGAGAGAGAGAGAGAGAGAGAGAGAGAGAGAGAGAGAGAGAGACAGAGAGAGAGAGAGAGAGAGACAGAGAGAGAGAGAGAGAGACAGAGAGAGAGAGAAGAGAGAGAGAGAGAGAGAGAGAGAGAGAGAGAGAGAGAGAGAGAGAGAGAGAGAGAGATACCTTCTTGAGTTTGCCGCCACTGAATGTAGGACTAATGATTTTCCGTAGCCTCTTCCAGGTAGCAACTTTCGCATTGAACAGATTGGTGGTGAGTGGGTAGTCGTTGAGATCAAAGTCCTGCAATAAGAATGTTTGATACTCATATTAAGCTATATGATTGTAACCTTTAAATGATCAAATCTGGACCAGCCAAACCTATGATTGATATTATGAGTAAGTCAAAGTAGTCTTGTTAAGGAACTGTTGCTTGGGGGTTTGAAGATGATTTTGTTCTTGGGATGTATGTGTGTTGGGTGCATGTGGCGTTTATTTCATCAATTTTGGTGGTGCTTAAAAATAAGGGGGGGGTGTGTGTTTTCAAGTGGTGATGTGTGTGAGTGTACATAAATTTTGCATTGTGCATGCTTCTCCATGCGTGTGAATTATGAACGGTCCCTAAAATATCTTGCAATCAACAGTCACCCAATCTGAAGCACAGGGTCCCTGAAACCAACTAAACTGCTCACACATAAAGACATACAGGCCATTGGAAATAAGTATCAAAACAAACATGGCTCGTAAATATTTGTCCAACTTATTTTTTATATTATTTTCTAATACAAACATCTTTATTCAATTGCATGCATTATACTTTTTTTGCATCTCTTTCAACACTTCAAAACAAGTGAGTGAGTGAGTGAGTGAGTGAGTGAGTGAGTGAATGCCTTGACCACAAGGCTACCCAACAGCTTCACAGTCACAAGTACTTTTTCCTACGTATTTTTTCACTTCAGAACAAATTATTTAAAATAATTACAATGGTAATGCTATTCTTTTGGTTCTGCTGGTTGTTATAAGTATAAAACCTCAGGTAAAATATGGAGCTATAGAGCATGACTTCACTCCAATGATCTCACTGACTGACCACTCCCCACATTGTTCATACAACTGATGGGGGCAGTGGGGAAGCCTCATGGTTATAGCGTTTGCTCGTCGCAGCTGAAGACTTCGGGTTCGATTCCCCACATGGGTAAAAAACCATACAAGATGGATGTATTTGTGAAATTTCACCCTAATACAAATCAGGTATGTGATATTTGATAACAAGCATTTCATGTTTAATAGAAATTTGGAAATTGATATTTGTTATCAAGCATTTTTTTTAAAGCATATTTTTCCGGCTACCTGATTGGTCACGTGACCATCGAAGGAAAAGCATATCGACTCCAACCTAGTTCTAACCAAAAGTCATATTGACTTGAGCTACATAAAATAGATTTTGACGTCAAGCTATGACATCATTCTATTGTTGACATGTCACAGTATTGTTGACATAAAGTTATTGGTTTGTAGTGAAAATAAAATTACTTTTCTTGACTAAATGGACATGTTTGAGTTTTTAGAAGCTTTTTTTCAGTAATTACATAATGAAACAATTATGGATTGGTGAATACCTGTTTTTATGGACCCACGAAAAACTTCATTCGAGGTCAATATTGCTTTTTGAGGGTCTATAAAAACAGGTATTGACCTCATCACCAGTCTATGATTGTATATTATTGACATGATGTTGTAAGTCATGGATGAGTGAGGCTTGGTTCTACATCAGTTTCTCCCAACACTAGCGGAAATGTCCCGTGTAGTGTATTTACCTGTAAAATTACTAATGAAAATCTGCTATGAAAAATGCTGATGCCAAACAGTAACAGCTGACTTCACAATGACGCACAAAACCGGCAAAACCATGGCAACACATTCAGGGCATTGAAGATTATTTAACCCAATATTTTCAGTTCGGTTGCTATGGAGATATGTGACTAATAACTGTATACTTGACAGTTCTGAATTCTCTGACAATGTCTCTAAAATATTAATTTTGGGATGATAAATTGAGAAAAATATAAACTTAAGCTTCAGAGGAGACACTGAAATACAGTGTTTGTTAGTTTGTTGTTTCAAGCTACACTCAGCAATATTCCAGCTATATGGAGTCAGTCTGTAAATAATTGAGTTTGGACCAGACAATCCAGTGATCAACAGCATGAGCATCGAAAACACAGATGTAGATAAGCTCACAAAGAAAGTTCACAAACTATTTCACATCTTCCAACAGAGTACCAAAATTCAAGTTTATAAATGAAGAAAGAATTAAAAAGCAGTCAACAAAGACTGTTCATTAAAAACTTTCAAGTTTCTTTCCTTGCCTAGCAGAAGGAAATATGACAAGCCTAAATTGTCAGCTGCTGGTTTTCAGGAGATATAATTATATATGTTTTTCCCCAATCAGTTAAATCTTCATCAACAGCTATCTTTCCTGACGTGTTGCCCACAACAATATATTCTTTACAATGAGATATTGAATCGTATTCTAATATGCTTACCAATCTGTCTGTGAAAGTTTGAAAGTCTTTAATCAAAACCTCCTTCAAAATGTCAGGGTCAGCGACATTAATCATCGGGATTCCTCCAATATATAATCTGAAAAACATGTGCAGACCTTTGTACATAAAGTCACTGCATGTCGACATATCAGTCCCCTTGTAGTAGTGAACATCACACGTCTAGCATTCCACTAAAAGTTTGTTTATTCATTGTTTTCTGCCCACTCAGCAATATTCCAGCTACCAATCTGTAAATACTTGAGTCCGGAACAGACAATTCAGTTACTGACATCATGAGAATCAATCTACGTTAATTGGGATATGATGACATGTGTCAACCCAGTCAGCAAACCTGACCACCTAATCCCATTTGTTAGTCTCTTATAACAAGCATGGATAGCTTAAGATCTGTTACAACCTGGATCTTCACAGGTTCCCAGAAGGTACTTTTGAAATAATGGAGTGTTTGATTTGATGAGGTCTCAGTCAGACATGGTCAGTTGGTCACAAATGCTTGAAATTTGTCACCATATTTCCATTAATGCACCCAAAATAATGAATACAAATTATCGAGAGTGGGTGATGGGTGATGTCAAAAGCATCCAGGTGTTTAAAATAATAAACGACAGAAGAATCTGTTCCTCACTCTCTCATAAGCACACACACTCATGTAATTACACTTTAATTTCCCTTGTATATAAGCATGAACAAATAACACAAATCTGAAAATGGTTGGTTGGTTGTTGTGTAAGACTACACTCCGTAATATTCCAGCTACATGGCAGTGGTCTATAAATAATGGAATCTAGACCAGACAATCCAGTGATCAACAGCATAAGCATCAATCTAAGTTGTACACATAATGTTGGTTTGTTGTTCAACGCTCTCAGCATTATTCCAGCTATATGGCGGTCGTCTGTAAATAATCGAGTCTGGACCAGACAGTCCAGGTTATACGCTGCACTCAGCAATATTCCAGCTATATGGTGATGGTCTGTAATAGAGTCTGGACCAGACAATCCAGAGATCAACAGCATGAGCACCAATCTTCACAACTGGGATATGATGACATGTGTCTACCAGACAGTGAGCCTGACCACCCGATCCCATTAGTCGCCTCTTACGACAAGCATGGGTTACTGAAGATCAATTCAGGGACTGTGAGACAGACTGTGCATCAGGATGCAGTGAGTGACAAATAAAAAACATTTTTTCACTCTTTACCCATATACGTCACCATACAGTTTCCCCCTCTTGTTTTCAAAGTCAATCCCCTGAAACATAAATGTACACTGTTTTTGAACTCTCATTTATGTACAATGTGTAGTAGGGCTGGGATGGGTAGGAAAAAATGGAATCGAGTACCCGCATGTGCTTACCCGAATCAGAATCGAGTACCCGGAAATGTAAGGAATGCAGTGCTTCTGTCAACTGTCTGAATATTCATTCAATCACGAGTTGACAGAGATTATTATAGAAACTTGAAAGTATGGCAATAAGACATTAAAACAGATCTTAGGCTATCTAATTTATGTCTATTTAACCAATATAAAGAGTAACAGCATTACTTACCTTCCTCGTTAAAACACAGAACTTTTCGTTTCCCGTCGCTCATGCGTAGATAAATTACAGTCGTTAATAATACCCTTCATTAATCGCACAATACCAATGATGTAAATGTGTGTTACATCAATTATGAAAAAGACAAGTTATTATCTGCCCTTGTCATTACAGAGGTCTCTAGCTTTCCGGGTACTCGATTCCTAGAAATAGGACTCAAATCCAGGTTTACCCGACCATGATTTGAGTACTCGAGTACCCGTCCCAGCCCTAATGTGTAAAGCCCATTTCTGGTGTCCCCTGCTGTGATATTGCTGGAATATTGCTAAAAGCGACATAAAACCAAACTCACTCACTGACTATCAACTATGTGAGTGAGGGTACAGGGTTTAGTACCCAGGGCTCCAGTAAATTTTCAACATCAGGAGTTGGTACTCCTTATTTTTTCAATATAGGAGAACTGGAAAACCTTAAAAGTACATTTAGAGTACTGAATGGAATTTAATGGAGTATAAGTAATCTTGTATTACGTTTCATATATGCACCACAACATTGCTACTCTTGTGTAAACAGGTCAGTAAACAATAAAAACAATACTTTTTCAGATAAATACGTCTGTAAATGATTCTAAGACCGTACACCATTGCCGTGGTGTGTATCTGCTACATTTTCGAAATTGTTTCCTACTGTATCGTGCATATTTTTACCCATACATACGCCGATACATCCCTTATCTGGAGCCCTCACAGAGTACCACACTGAACAGTATTACAGTTATGCTACAGAATATCAGCTATGTGTGAAAAGTGAAATGTATTGAAGATCTCAGACCATACAGCTTTGGTAAAACCCTAAACCCAATGGTGCCACCAAATCAAGAATTATAGTAACTTGGAACCATAGGATTCTGATACACATAAGGGACACAACTCTGCACAGCAAATCATGACTGATTTTCCATAGTCAGTGGTTTTATCAAATGAAAGTACGATCTTTACCTCCTTGAGGAGAGTGAGAAGGGAGCCAAAGATGATATTGGGTTCTGGTCCCGGTATCCCACAGTCTTTCAATAGGCGCTGTCTCCGTTTACCAAACCTGGAAAAACATACACATCACTCAGCCGAACAGCCACCGAACTTTCATTATAACTACAACTTTAGCAGATACAGATCTTTTTGAAAAATAAAAAGGGTTATCATATAAACAAAAGCAAAAGTTGAGAGTATATCATCATGGCTAAAATATTTGCAGAAATTAAAAAAATTATCCTTGTCACAATACCTTTTGCCTGGTTGTAATTCTGTGGATTTTCATACATACATTTTCATTATTGAATATAGATGGTACTATATCACAAGCAAATTGAGTATGTTGTTTTCAACAGTGATTTGAACATTATTTTAGGTACTGCAAATCGTGCCAGGTTAGTTTGGGAGGAGGGGCAGTGGGGTAGCCTAGTGGTTAAAGCGTTGGCTCGTCACGCCGAAGACCCTGGTTCGATTCCCCACATGGGTAAAATGTGTGAAGTCCATTTCTGGTGTTCCCTGCCGTGATATTGGTGGAATATTGGTAAAAATGGTGTAAAACCATACTTGCTAACTAACTATTGTGGGAGGACAGCTCGAAGAGTTTAGACCTTTACCACTTTGATGAGCACCTCAAGCACAGGTACAAACCTTGAACCACAATCACGGTGAAGAGGGATTTGAAGCCAATGTTTCTGGCAAGTAAGAGTGAGTGAATGAGTTTAGCTGGATTTGATTTCCTACATCACCTTCTTTTTGACTATTTTCCAATTATACCCTTTAGACTGAGTGAGAGAGTGACTATTTGTAATAGGTCGCCTTCAGCAATATTCCAGCAATATCACATCAGGTGACACCAGAAATGGGCTTCACACATTATACCCATGTGGGGAATGGAACCCAAGTCTTCCGCATCATGAGAAAAGGCTTTAGCCACAAGGCCACCCCATTCCCCAATTATTCAATGGAGAGGGGGATGCAATTTGATACAGGTGTTGAAACTGTGTTTGGGTCCTAAGATTAGCATAGGGGGAATGTGCAAAGTTTGAAAAATGTCTTATGATCATATATGCAATATTTTAAAGAATAATAAGTAATAATTACAAAAATTATGATGTAATCCTTTAAAGTAACCACACAAGGTTCATAAATTCCATGGGTCATATTGATAACAAACTCTGATTGCAATGATGGACGAGTCTATTGTGCTTCGCTACAGTCTTATGTGAACAAAAATGATCAGTGAGTCAGGTGCATTGTATGAAAACTATTTCATCATATGTAAGTTAATGTAATATACTACTAATAATAAGGCCATTTCTACAGCTTGGAGCTCCATGCTGCACAGACAAATATACTTACACATAGAGCAAAGCAACGACGCCTCCAAGTAGGCCGAGTGTCACAGGTAAGCTGCAACCGAACAGCTCCATTGCGAAGAGACGAAATGCGTATATAAATTTGTTGAGGCGACGGAAATGAACTTGTTTATGTAGACACTTTGTTCGGGTTGTGTGTGTAGCTCTTCAACGTGAGTCACATATAAAGGTGTTGTCATGCATTGCTTGTCCCATGAGTTGTGGATATTTCGCAATGCTTGACCTACATGTTATTATCAGCTGCCCCGCGGTACTATTTGGGGACCGTCTCAGCAGCTGCCGGTTAAATTACTTCTCTTGCCACAAAGTAGTCCAAACTATCATGTCCCTGATACGTAAACTATACATGGGGCGTAGCAACGGTTCTCAGAGTGAAAGGTATTGAACTGAAATTCTGGTTATGGTAAGGTAGATATGGTTTCGTCTTGAAAAAAATGTGTGTGTGTGTGTGTGTGTGGGGGTTCCTCCGCGCCTGCCATATACCCCTGGGTAGACCAGTCTTCACTCACCTGTACGGGTCCTTTGATAGGCGGGGTAGCTACACTAACGCTGTTTCTGATTAATTATAATTTTGACAGAAATAAAAAAAAATTCTTTTAAAATGAAAAGGAGTCCAAATGCGATGGGAGATTCCTGAATCTGAGGAGCCTGAGGCTTGTTTCATTTGGACTTTAGCACTCCAGAAAAAGCTAGCGGAAGGGACAATATTTCGTTTCAGGGACTGGGAGACAGTCTAGGGGAGTGTGTCAAACTATATGTGGCTTGTCTGAGTGATATGATAGTGCATGATCTTGCGTATCGTGCTTCAATCACACGTTTGTCTGACCCAGACATAATTATTAAGAGGCCTGGGTAAATTAGCTGTAATAGTGTTGAGTATGGCACTCACGACCAGGTTGTGTGATGACACGATGAGATGAAGTTGCTCCAGATGATGTAAGGAGGTCAGCATATTTCAAAGTCTCCGTCCCAATGTTGGACCAGGAAGCGGACCTATAACTGCAATTTGTAATGACACTGCGATATTTTATGTACAACAGAATTTCTGATGGATCACTGAAATCACATTTTAACTTGACTTACTAAATATATTAAAAGTCAATAAATTATTGAAGGAATACTGTACTGTACTACCGAGGGAAAATCTGTAAACATGTAACACTTCATATACATGTTTTGTTCGACCATTTTACATACTAGTATTTGGGAATAGCATGATATGGGACAATATTTTCAAGGAAACACTGTACTTGAGTACTATGGGGCTATCTGTACTGTACTGTACTACTGAGGTAAAGTCTATAAACATAATTCTGGGAATAAAAACATGAAGAAAAAAAATATTGAAGGAAAATGAGTAACTTGTGTTACGAATGAAAATATATGAAAATATGTAAACTTGAAACCTTAGCATGACAGAAAATAGATGAACGGATGAATGGGTGAATGAATGATTGAATGATTGGATTGATGGATGGATGAATGTCCAGACACTTTCTTCATGTTCAGAAACTGTAGTATTTCTGACTTGCTACACATTCTAGACTTGCATGGACTGCATTGGGTATATTTGTTTCAGGGTCGAGATGACAGACAAGTTTTGCATGCGCATGGGCTGAACCACTATATGTGTTCAGGTGTGAGTTTCGGACCGCTTTTCAATCACCTTCTCCCTTACACTTTTCATAAACAATTTCCGATGCCATGCCATTTTCTAATTACATAAAATCAACCAATCAGTGTGACACTGACATAACCATGATCTATATTTGACATACGGCGATCACTAATGGCGCTGCGCTTAAGTCAGTGAGTATGGTTTTAGCAATATTCCAGCATTGTCACGGCGGGGAGCACCAGAAATTGCCTTCATGCCTAGTAGCCATGTGGGAAATCGAACCTGGGAATTCGGCATGACGAGCGAACGTTTTAACCACAATGCTAAACACACACACACACACACACACACACACACACCCACACACCCACACACACACCCCGAGTTTAAGGACATAGATATGCAAATGAATGAAGTATCTTATATACTAACAGTGTACCACATAATTACAGTAAACTACAGTGATATGGAATTCAAACGGACCACTAACCTCAAGTCGTTGTAATTAGTGAGTGAATTAGTTGGGCTTTACCCCGCTCTCGACAATATTCCAGCAATACCACGCGAGGTAAGGGGCACACCAGAAATGGGCTTCACACACCGATGTGGGGAATCGAACACGGGTCTTCGGCGGGACGAGCCATTGCTTTAACCTACTAGGCTACACCACAGCCCCTAAGTCGTTATAACCAAGACAATCTATACTTTCCTCAGAATTTGAATTTCCAATCTCACTTTTCAATTTAAATGGAGTTATTTGTTTTTAGAATTAGTCTTCAGTAATCCATGCTTGATGTAAGAGGCGACTAACGGGATCAGGTAGTCAGACACACTGACTTGGTTGACACATGTCATCGTATCCCAACTGCGTAGAACGATGCTCATGCTGTCGATCACTGGATTGTCTGGTCCAGACTCGATTATTTACAGACAACCGCCACATAGCTTGGATATTGCCGAGAGCGTTAAACAACCAGCCAACCAACATTATGTGTACAAATTTGACACAAATTAAGGCGACAACACTGGACAACAGCTTTATTCTTCCTACAACGTCATACATGCATGCATGGTGAAATTTCAGCAGCACCTCAGGAGTATCACATCTTGGAAATCGAACCTGGACCTTGAAGTGCCGAATGAGTACTTTAACAACAGGACCATCCCACCACAAAGCTAAGGTGTTAAAGATGTTTTACCCCTTTCAGAACAAATCTTCATTCCAATGACGTGACGTCACTCACGAGTTGTATCCCTTTGGTGTTTGAAAACAGTCGACTGTCTGTGTCACTGACTGACTGAGTTTAGTTTTACGCCGCTTTTAGCAATATTCCAGCAATATCACGGCGGGGGACACCAGAAATGGGCTTCACACATTGTGCCCATGTGGGGAATCGAACCTGGATCTTCGGCGTGACGAGCCAACGCTTTAACCACTAGGCTACCCCGCCGCCCCCTGTCTGTGTCAAATGGTGAGTGAGTGAGTGATCCTTACACTGGTTTTAAAAGGGTTTAACTTTATGTCAACCCCGTCCGCTCTTGTGTTCTACTGAACGTTATCAAGTGTGTATTTATAAACGTACTTATCAGCGCCAAACCTCTGACAGTCTGTGGGTTTCACCACAGAGGGTACAAAATAACATTCTGGATTCTTCTGAAACCAAGTTCTGATGTCCCAGAAATATCATTCATACTAAGGCCAGATAAAACATTAAAGGGTCAAAATTGGAAAAGATCACAAAAATCCATGCATCAAAAAGTCTTTTTTAAGTTAATGGGTTAACAGACTTAAAGAGCACAATCTTGTGGATATAGACTTTACATTAAAACCTCTTCATTGTTTCTCCACAGTACCTTTTAGATTCACTCTGATGCCTCGCCCATAAGACCAAACTGGTTAACGCTGCATGACGCAGACAAAGCAAGGATGCTATCTGTGGGATGAGTGAGTGAGTGTGAATTACACCGTTCTCAGCAACATCCCGGCTTTATGGCGGAGGTTTGCAAATAATTGGACTAGATGGTAAATAATCGCGTCTGGACCAGACAATCAGTGATGGGCATCTATCTACGCAATCGGGCTACGATGTATCTGTGGTATGAATACACACCTTGCTACACATCCCCTCTTTACATAGATGCTCATGCTGTTGATCAATGGATTGTCTGGTGTAGACGCGATTATTTACAAACCATCGTCATATTGCTGGAATATTGCTGAGTGTGGCGAGTAAGTGAGTATGGTTATACGTCGCTTTTAGCAATATTCCAGCAATATCACTGCAGGGGACACTAGATATGGGCGTCACACATTGCATCCATGTTGGGAGTTGAACCCGGGGTTTTCGGCGTGAGGAGCGAACGCCCTGACCACTAGACTAACGGGATCGGGTGGTCAGGCTCGCTGACTTGGTTGACACATGTCATCGTATCCTAATAGCGTAGTTCGATGCCCACGCTATTGGACACTGGGCTGTCTGCGCCAGACTCGATTATTTACAGTCCGTTGCCATATAGCTGGAATATTGCTGAGTACAGCATTAAACAACAAACCCAAGTCAAAACATTTATTACACAACAGCCTCATTTCCTGCTGACTGGGTTCCGTCCTATTGCGCACCTTAGTACAATAACCAGTCCAGAATTTTGAGACCAATTCATTCAACTGGATACATAAATATTAATCAGTATTATTTGATACATCTTAGCACTTGTATATTGCAACACTACGCTCCTTCTAATGCTTGCAAACACGTCGTGCAGCGTGCTCTGTCGTACTGCGTGCTCTGACATATGGACATCGTGGAATTTTCAAAACGAGGAGGTCTGGTACGGTCTTGATATTGTATCAATCACATTGTGCGTTACAAAACTACACTGACTAAGCCCCAAAAAGACATAACAAGTGTAACCAGTGAGCCAGATGAATAGTGAATCATTTTACGACCTCATCAAACAGGGGCAGTCTGTGACGTCTTAGTAGGTCGTGCTGCCTAAACCTTGCCATAAATATAGAAATACGATGTTATTAAAGTTTGAAATTAAAATTAACATGTAAAAACCATTTCTTATGAAACAAGGAATTGGAATTTAGTGTAACCAGAGTTGTTTGTGGTGTCTGTTTTCACTTTCACACGAGAAAATTCGGATCGGCTGAAAAGTAGGTCATTGTCTGAATAGGTTAATGAGACTCATGTTTCGGTTTGTACCAACCAGCCTGGCTCCCGATCAGTAAAGCGGTCGTAGCGTTACGAGCTAAGTAACTCTATAGTTTATGATAGGATTACGAAGACGTAATGCTACGAACGCTTTGTTGGTCGGGCCCTTGTCATCCAGCTGGCATCTGACTGATGAGTCCATGCCCTAGTGAAGTATAATCATTGGCGACGATGACTTAGCAATGGAAACATGAGTTATATCTTGTTAGCTTAACGTATACACTTCTATTGCACATCCAGTGAAATTGTCTCTGGCCGTGAACCATTGGCAGGAAACATGTCTTGACAGTATTATTCTCTATAAAAGTGAATGATATCATTCTTGAGAGGCCATATTTAGAACAACAAAAACAAGGAATTCTGAATAATTCATTGACATTATTTATAAAACTGTGAGCACACAATGTCATAAAAAAACCCATCCACCCACAACCCCACCCCCTAGCGCGCCCAAAGATTCATAACCCTCCATCTATTTTATGTACGATGCATCTGTCAACTCGAGTGTGAGTGAGTGAGTGAGCCATGTAGAGAATCGAAACTGGACCTTCGGTGAGACGATCGAATGCTTTAATTACTAAGCCACCCCTACCCCCCCAACCACCCCACACCACACAACTCAAGATGGTTAGATGAACTGTTAAATCAAATAAAAGATGAGTTGAAACACGACCAACAATCTCAGGCTCTACACAAATCTTCGAGAGACTTCTGAACCATGGTAATCCAGCCAGCCTCTGGCACAGTGAGGTAATAGTCAGAGAGAATACACCCATTGGCCAGAGAAGGATTGTAACTGAAAGCGAGGCAAGTCACAGTCACGTGACACTGGACTCCACATTCAATGGCTGAATTAGTTGACAGGAAAGTCAATGGAGACATAACCTTCCCCTGACATGCTGCATACGTTACGTCTGAAAGCAAACAAACTTCAGTTCACAAATCCCATTCATAATAATGCTGATGATCATCATGCTAATGCCAAATATGTTTTCTTTTTTTGAAAGAGCACCTTTCTGTGTTAAAAGAAATCATTTGTTTTTATATTCAAATTTACCTTTACAGTCCACTTATCGGTATGAATTTTAAAAATGATAATATTCTGTAACTTTGGTGGGGTTCAGCTGAGAACAGTAACAGTATTTCTAATATATCAGGAAATATCTGAAAACAACCTATTAAAATACAGTCAAAATAACCGTGTTTCTTCTTTCAGAACCTTAACACATCTATTGTGTTTATAATACATCTTAATGCACTCAGGACTCTGACCACACGATTTAAAAGAAACTGTATTATTTATTTATGTACTTCTCAATAGCTTTGCTAAAATCCACAAAGGCCACAGATTGCAGCTCCACATCTGCCCCTCCCTCTCCCCAGTTTCAGGACCCCTCAACCCCTATAATACACAGTTCATGACATGTCCCAAGAAATTATTTAATCAAATATTGTGAAATTAGAAAAGGGATGAAAGGTATTGGGCACCTGTTTTCATGTCACACACTTTTTCTCGCGAGAGCTATTTGACTGGTTCCCACCACACATTATATTTTGTAGAAGTTACACGAACAAAGGAATGAATATTTCGGGACACGTGTTGTTAAAGAGTGGACTTAAGTGAAGACTGGATGGTATTCTATAAAGTGTATTCATGTTCTAAGTAAGGATAAGATATATGGATGAACAACTTGTTTAGTTACAACGGAGCTTAATAACGGTGTTAGAATCTACAACAAAACGTCATTCCTCATTGAAATGCGTGCGTGTGTGTGTGTGAGAGAGTTGTTTCACGCCACACTCAGCAATATTCCAGCTATATGGCGGCGGTATGTAAATAATGGAATCTGGACCAGACCATCCACTGATCAACAGCATGAGTATCGATCTACACAACTGGGAACCGATGACATCTGTCAACCAAGTCAGCGAGCCTGACCACCCCATCCTGTTAGTCGCCTTTTTACGACAAGCATGGGTTGCTGAATATCAGTAAATCCGGATCCTCACGGGCCCTCTTTCTATATGGGTTCCTTTACAAATGGCTGCTTTACAACACTGTTTCGACAATTTTACATGTTTGCAAATATAACGCAGCCATTGAAACGTGAGTAACTGCGGTGTCAGTTTGTCAGAAATGTTTGAGTTAGTCTTGACAAATTTTAAGGATACACTCACCAGGGACAAACACGTCTGCAATCGGTATAAATGATGCCATACTTCCTCCTGAAGAGAAACAATAAAAAGTGAGTGAGTTACTATTTTACGTCACATCGGCAATATTTCAGCCATATCGTGACGAGAACATAAACTGAGTCAAAAAGGAAACTTCACAAAATGTAATTTGAAAAATAATGAATAATTTTTCTCTGATGATACATCTATGTATCCGAAATGGGATCCCTATATTTCGACTCTACAAAAACGTTAACAAAACCCACTCAAACCCATCCATTCCTCGTGCAAATGACGTTAGTGCCAAATCAGGTTTTGCACGTTCAGTCGATAACGTGATCTTCGCATCGAAGTTTTCTTCATATGCACGTGTTTGAATTGGCCTCACGAATTGAAAAAACACTTTTAAACCACAGTTCTTACGGTACTTGAAATGCCACGATTGTCAAATGTGCAACGTGAACGTGTCGTTGGCATGTTGCAAGCGGGAAGATCAGTTATTGACGTCGCAAGAGCAATGGGATGCAGCCGTCGTACTGTGTATGACTTGCGAGGTCGTCTACAACAAACTGGCACCACTTCTGATCGCCCAAGGTCGGGTTGTCCACGTGTGACGTCACGAGCAGAAGACTGTCAAATCGTCCTACGTCACCTACGTGACAGATTTCTGCCGGCTACACGAACCAGGGCTGAGATGTTAAAAGGTCGACTGTCCTCACAGACCATTCGAAATCGGTTGCGGGCTGCCAATCTCCATTCTCGACGTCCATATCGTGGGCCAATATTGACGCCGTTTCATCAACGTCAACGTCAGCTGTGGGCCCAACGTCACCTCCGATGGACCCAGAGAGACTGGAATCGAGTCGTCTTTAGCGATGAATCCAGGTTTACCCTCAGATTCGCGGACGGCAGGCATAGAGTCTGGAGACGACGTCGTGAACGGTATGCCCAATGTTGTGTACAGGAAGTCGACAGATTCGGGGGCGGAAGTTGCATGGTGTGGGGTGCTTTCTGTGGGAACAACCGTTCCCGACTTCTGGTCATTCGTGGAAACCTCTCAGCTGCTGCTTACCGCGACCAAGTGCTCACCCCAAAACTCGGCTCATGGCCCAGGTCTACAGTTCCAGCATGATAATGCTGGGCCGCATACCGCGATGTTGACACGCAATTTCCTTCAAAACGCTGGGAATCAACGTCCTGACCTTAATCCAATAGAGCACGTTTGGGATGCACTTGGGAGAAGGCTTCGTGGTCTTAGGAACCAACCTCAGAATTTGCAGGAACTTGGCGCTGCCTTGCAAGAGCAATGGCGCAGAATCCCCCAACCCCAATCAGGCAGTCGATGAGGAGACGGTGTTTGGCAGTGGTAAATGCGCGGGGCGGCCATACACGATATTGAACTGAGAAATTTCGCATTTTTATTCTTGTGACTTGACATTCTGTATACCCATGTTTTGGAACGGCGGTGTAGCCTAATGGAACTGATTATGGCACTGTCAGTGTATCGAGTACATCACACAGATCTCAGCAATGAAATAATAACAATTTAACCATCTTACCATCTCTTGTTCTTTTATAGTGCCCTGAAGAAAGAATGTGAAGTTTCTTTTTTGTTGTAACACGGGGCTTGGCGTGACCAGCCGATTGATAAAACTGGGCCAGTTCTACCACCCGTCTAGGTGAAGTAAGGGGCGAAGTGGTGTGTTGGGAAAGGAACGCTGTTCCTGGAACCAGTGCCCTCAACCACCAGACTCCCGTCCTCCACACGACAAACGGGTTGGTTATCCAAATATACCCCCGGGTCCATAACGGGGGATTGAAGAGCGCTTAGCGTTACCCAGCACCCACCACAAGGAGGTGGCGCTTCACTGGTGCCAACAATAATTATCCAGCCTCATGTAAGAATGTCGAGTTTTGATTGGTTCACGTGACTCTGATAAAATACCATGTACACCCGTCACGATCCGCGAGCAGGGAGTACAAAAGTCATATTATCCCGTCATATTATCGATCAGCTGTTGTCAACATGGCATCTCACATAAATAAAAACATGTCGATTCGATGCGTATTGTTTTCTTTTGTTTTAGTAAAAACATTCGGCCAGATAAATGCGTTATCAATTCGTGTCTCGGGAAAAACGGGGTTTTATCAGTCCCTTGTAAGGTTGTATTCCCCAAGCCTCCGGCCTCCGGCTCAACTGACTTCTATGGTATATTGCTGGAATATGCTAAAAGCGGCGTAAAACCAAACTCAGTCAGTCAGTTCAAAGAATCCAACAAATTGCATACTCTTTCAATGATTTACCTTGAGTCCTGTATTTGAGAGTCCCTGGGACTCATACTCTTAATTTTAAGGGGTCCTGGACAACAAAATGGGGGTGCCAGACACTTAAATATTATCGTTAATACTGTTATTGTATTGTGTATCATGATCATCACTTAATTATTACAGTAATTGATTTGCATACGATGCCATAACCCAGCTAGTAGCAAACTCAGTGACAACCTATTGTTAGTTGATTGGAATTTTTACAAACAGAATTTGGACTATTTCTGCGTCCCTGTGGATGCGCTAATAAATTTGGTTGCGTCCATTGCCAATTGTTATGCGTATAGGACGCAGGAATTCACCTCCTGTAAATCCCTGTACTTTGTGTGCTGGTGAACTCTCTAGTCACCGCAGCAGTATTCCAATAGAGATTTTCATACCAGTGAAAAGGTTTTAATGATCCCAGTAACCATCCCATTAAAGACCAAATGTGGCTTGTTACGACGTAAATAGTAATAAAAACGTAAATTGTATTACTTGCAGCAAATTGTAATAACCGTTGACGTAAATTGTAATAACAACGTAAATTGCACAGTGTTTATCTATGGTGAAAACTTTTATTACAATTTATATAAATATTTATTACATTTTACCTCAATTATGATAATTACAAGTTACGTCAATTATTTTTTATTAGAATTTGCGTATTACAATTTATGTCAATTTGTATTACAATTTACGTCAATTTTTATTATAATTAGGCGCCAATTTCTATCACAATTTACGTTTTTATTACAATTTACGTCAAGGGTTATTACAATTTGCTGCAAGTACACCCTCGATAATCTCCAGGGTATACGTTCCGATAAATCTCCACTAGTAGTGATTCATCAAAACGTATACCCTGGAGATTATCGAGGATGCTGCAAATATTACAAAATTTACCTTTTATTACAATTTACCTTGTAACATGTCTCAATGTATGTGTGTCTACTCACCTCCAGAGAACACGACGGGTATAAGGCTGATGAGCAGGGCCTCAAACAACAACATGATAGACTGCACACTTTCGCTCTGCTTCTAGTCAAGCAGGAAATGAGCGAACATCGCAATGGCAAAGCTGAGACCATCCCAGGTAGAATCAATATCATCTTGCTCCGAGGGAACACATACAGATTGGTTATTCCCATCATTTAAAATGGGAACTAGTGAGTACTCGTTGGGGAATATTTATCTACATGACGCGGACATGGCCCCGTTAGGCAATGACCAATAACATCCGTTATAACTCCTGAGGTGGAGGGCGGTCATTGTATCCCATTTGCGGAGATCGACAAAGTTTGGTTTTACCCCGCTTTTTAGCAATATTCCAGCAATATCACGGCGGGGACACCAGAAATGGGCTTCACAAATTATACCCATGTGGAGAATCGAACCCGGGTCTTCGGCGTGACGAGCGAACGCTTTAACCACAAGGCTACCCCACCGTCCCTTGCGGAGATCGATGCTTATGATGTCAATCACTGGATTGTATGGTCCAGACTTGATTATTTACAGATCGCCATGATAAAGTTGGAACACTGATCAGTTCTGCACTGAACATGAACGAACAAAGTCAGGGAAAGGAATTAATGGCATTCAGATTCTAAAACTGTACAGCTGTAGCTGACGGTAAAAGGCATGATAAAAAACCCATCACAGTTGTTAATGCAGTTAAAAATAGAAACTACTGATCAGACAATCCAGTGATCAACAGCATGAGCATCGATCTACGCAACTGGGATACGATGACAATTGTCAACCATGTCAGCGAGCCAGACCACCCGATCCCGTTAGTCGCCTCTTACGACAAGAGAGGGTTACTGAAGATCAATATTCTAACCCGGATCTGTGAATACTTCGAGTTATCCGAGGTTCCACACAAATTTAAATACAAAACACAATGAATAAGTAGAAACCGGCGCTTTAGCGAATAACCAAAATAGACCATCTGGCCGTCTCTTTCTGTATAGACCTAAGCTTTGGACGTCACTCAAATAAATCAGAAACACTTCTTCCAAGGATACCTTCAAATCGCTCCTAACCTCTCACATCTTTGTGACAGTAAATAACTAGAACTGTAGCCAATAGCCGTTTGTACATTGTCACCCGTCTTTGTACAGTTCATTATCAATGTTAAACCCCTTTTTACTTTGTAATAGAGCCACTGTGCATTAGGCCCTCTACAAATGAGCTATTATCATTTTACAAACTAAAATAAGTGGCTCTTTTAAGGTTGTTACAACAATACTTTACGTATTTGCTTCTTCATAACACTATATTTGTCCTGGCTCAGATGTTTCTTAAACAGTCATCAATAGTTTACATGTCTTTTCAAACAATCTCCACATCTTGGTGTCTATGTTCAAGAAAACTGTTCTCAAACATTTCAAGTCGAATTAATACAATGTGGTCACATGCATCAGTTAATAGCTGTTGCACAAATTGGCATCAGAAAGTCCTGTGATCTGTCATTAAATCCAAAGACTCACAAGAATTTGTATTCGGGCACTTGTTAGAGGTTACTTACAACAGTGAGCTCAAATTACTGATTAATATGTTCCTCAAAATGTAAGACCTGTGATTGTTGTCCTGAAAATGCGCATTAAGTGATTGTTCTCACATACAGTACACTTTGTCAGTAAAAATGTTTGCCTTTTAAATAATTGATGCTATTTCTGAAAGCTATAGCAACTCCCTTTGTTCCAACGTTGCGGGCGTGGCTCAGTGGATGTGTGTGTGTCTACTCACCTCCAGAAAACACGACGGGTATCAGGCTGATGAGTAGGGCCTCAAACAACAACGTGATAGTCTGCACACTTACACTTTAATTACCCTAAGATCACATATACAATAGAACTCCCGACACATCACAGAAGCACACTAATTGACCAGATAAGTTTTAACGAGTTGTTTGTCACGGACAAATAAGTATAACGGTAGACTGACTTGTTACTGTACATTGATCTTTTAGTGCTTAAATGAAATATATATAATTCAGTTTAACATCACTTTGACGAAGATAGCGCTGATGTTTCATCTACTCTTGCATGACAATTGGACGCCATAGCCATTGATGTGTGGAGGATTTCAAACAGGAACTGAACGTGAACGTGAAATGGCGTTTTTAATATTTTAAACTGCAATCCGTCTCCAAATTCACGCAAGGCTGCACACTTCTAATGGTGAAGGAGTAAGTTTTTCTCCGAAACGTTGTGTTCCTCATGATGAACAAGTTGACATCCATAAAAACTCTCCTCCTTATGTGTATCACTTCTAAATGTCAGTCTAAGACCTGTACACTGACAGTTCATTCTCCTCAAACATTTGGAGTGAATTAAGCTTTCAGCAATATTCCAGCAATATCACGGCGGGGGGACACCAGAAATGGGCTTCACACATTGTGCCCATGTGAGGAATCGAACCCGGGTGTTCGGCGTGTTGAGCGAACACTTTAAAAACTAGGCTACCCCACCGCCCCTCAAACGTTTGGTAACATGACAAAACGCTTACATTGACCACTGATCATGTCACATTAGATTCTTGACATGGTTTAAAACATCAATATTTTTATATTACAGCAGGTTAAGTCTGGTTATGCTGTAGCAATGACGTTTCATATTTTATATTTACTTATACATGGTTTGCGTTTCTGTTGGTAGCTGAAGCCTCCGGGTTTCATGATACGCCCAGAATCATTTATCTCTGATCCAAGGCATGTTTGGTCCAAGATATTAAATCGATCTGAAAATATACAGACGGAAGAAAGTACCTGTGCATAACATAAAGTTGCATAAAATATAAGTTATTTGAAAAGTTATAATAAAAAAAACTAAATAAACATGTAGCAAAGCGCTATGCATTGAATTCGATGTCACGCATCGCGCGTGGCACGTGCACTTTGACATGGAAAAGCTTCAGAACAGGCAGAAGATAAAGCTGGCCCCAGACATAGTGTAAACATATTTTATTCAAAATAAATTGAACTAGGATTGGTAAACAAGCCGTAATGGCTTATTTGAATACCTCTCCATTTCATTGATACATGAATACAACACATATTAAATAATATGCAGCATGATAGGAAAGCAAGCAACCTGCGTATTAAACATTCTTAATCATTTATCAAACCTATGCGATTTTATTATAAAAGTATGGACAGATTGTAGTATGAAAGAATTTACAAGTACATTTTTTGTTTGGATTACCATTTAGGACAGAATGAAAATTATATCCATGTTCGTAAATATACATGCGATGTCTGATGTTAGAATAATTAGGTAAAGAAGTTATGTAAAGTATCCTCATAGGGTTGACCACAGGAACAGAATGGATCAACTGAAATGTGCCGTTCAAACATCTGCGCTTTCAAATTACTGCACCCAAGTCTGAGGCGTGAGTGGATAATTTGGCAGAAACGTGTACCAAAGTTTTTATCGAATACATATTGTATATTAAAATTGGGTGGTTTAGATGATTGGAATGCTTTTTTTTGAATTGGCCTATGGTTTCAATATCGTACATATTCTCAGGCAAATCATTCCATTGTCGTTATGTATCAGGTAAAAACGAGTTGCTATACAAGTCACTACGACATCTTATAGTTTGAATGTTATTTCTGTTTCCTAATCTATGGTCACTTAACTGTGATACTTTTTCGGGCAGTAGATCAGTTAAATAAACTGGTGTCATATGATGAACCATTTTGTAAAATAATGATAACTTGCTAATTTGTCTACGGTCAACTAGGGGCATAGAGTTAGTTTGCTTATATATTAAGTCATGATTTGTTCCAGACATATGTTCATAGTGGCTATGTTGTCATAAAAAAACTTACAATGCTGATTGCAACACTATTGTTGCAGTAACTGGCATGCAAAAACGGTTGGTGTTCATTAAAAATAATCGATACGCACAATGAAACCCTGTCACGTCGAACTATGGTGTGTTGAAGGAACGGTTCTCTCGAAACAAAGCTGTGTCCCTGCATTTTTAGTCATCATTTTGCGGTTGTGTCAAGTCTTGGATAACTCGAAGTAATTACATAAATTGCCGTCAACTTTGACACAGTTTTAGACTGTAGTTAAATTCAGCGCATTGTCTTGTATCAATACAGAAAGGAATGTATCACGTTTCATATCATCATGTGAGAATTCACAAGTATTAGTTCATTCAAGTTTGTATGATGTACTGGTTTTGAGTGAGTGAGTGAGTGAGTGAATGAGTGCGTGACTTAAGTTCTATGCCGCTCTTATTCCAGCAATATCTCGGCGGGGGACATGAGAAATGGGCTTCACACATTGTACCCATGGGGGGAATCGAACTCGGGTCTTCAGTGTGTCGAACGAACGCTTTAACCACTGGGCTACCCCAACGCCCCTGTTGAGTGCGGCGTTAAACAACAAACCAACCAAAAAGCGAATCAAGTATCCAGTTGTCTGCATTATAGAGCAAGTTCATGAGGATACAAACATGACATAATCATTTTGTCATTATACTATATCTACAATGTGAGTGCAAAATATACCCACCCTTGACTATTCCCAGAAATAAGCTTTATGTTGTAAACGTAAAACAGCAGTAACATCATATACTCATTGAACTTAATTAAACACCCCCTAACATATTTTAAGTTACTGACTTACCTAATGATAAATCTTGAATTGTAACGATGGCCATTATTTGAACTGTATTCCCTTTCAACAGTGTTTAAGGGTTTTGCTAAATCAGTCGTCAAAACTCATCCCAATATTAACTATTAACTCAATGCGGCTAACTGAATAAAACGCCAAAACATTTTAATGATTTTACCAGTATCTGTTACAATGGCACGAAGGAGACTACCAGAAGCAAGAAGATGGCAAATTATTGGAATGCACGACACCGGGATGTCAGGCAGGGATATTGGGCGACAGCTTGACATTCACCACACTGTCAAATGTCGACTTGTTAAAAACACCGTCAAGCCAACAAGGCTAAGGACTGACCAAGGCCAGGTCAACCCCGAAAGACGTCTCATGTTTAGGATCAGGATTTAGCA